ACTGAAATATTTTTACTTGGAAGGAATACATAGGCTTGTTTTCGGCAAAGTGCACTAATAAGGAGGGAGTTTGATGTGCATAGGGAAACCCGAGCTCCATGTAAATAAACTGTAGAATAAAAAGTGTTGATAATTCGTGAGTCTCCCAGTAAGTAGTCTGGCTCACACGGGACGAATGATGAAGATGATGCTGTGGTTGTGAATGTAATAGAAGAATGAACAAAGTTCAAGAATGAACATTTGATCTCAAGTGAAAGCTCAACCAGACTTGATATTTTTCTCTGTAACCCCAAGTTGCTTAGTTTATGACCACGGAACTATTATTCTTTAAGAGTATGATATTTATCTGTACCTTGTTTCAATAAAAACTTGTCTCCCTTGTGACATCTGTAGACTCTGTCACAATGCTAACACTCTTTAAAAGCCAGAAACTTTCAATTATTTTCTAACAATGTGTGATACAAACTTGTTTATTTATAACAAAACACTTTGCTCTAGCATGTAATTTGTGATTGCATGGTCTATTACACTGTGTATTATATATGCATATTGTATTGTGTGAATCAAAAAAATCAACAACAAAGATATGTGTTTATAAGTACAACAGTGTGTTTAAAGAGCCCCAGGGGGTTTAGCATTACAGGCCCACGGGGTAGTAAATATAGTCATAAAATCGGCGCATTATGCGTTCTTTGGGCTTTTAGGTAGGAACCTATGATGCGTTTCTTGGGACTCAAAGATTGCCATTTTGATATTTTTCAATTTTCATAGTGATCCAGCAAAAAAACAATTGTATACCACATGCTCATGTTATCACAGACATTGACTCATTTAATAGTTTTTATATTTTTATTTTTTAAACTAATCCATTTACTGAATGAGAATAATCAACTTCTATAATATAACTGTTACAACTACATTAGATTAAAAACTTCATGAACATTGTGTAAAACTTCCCGCAGTGAAATGTTGCATTTTCTTTTGTTAAAACTGCATGGAAAAATATCATATATATTGTGTATGAATAATCTGTGTCTGATTAATCTTCATATATATATATATATATTTATAAACATATTTCAACTGGTCACTTTTCAAACAATATAGGATGTTTTTCATATCAAACTGGACAATTTTTAAACCACTCAGGAGGTTTTCAAACCACGCAGGACACTTTTCAAATCAAACCGGACAAAATTAAAGAAAGGATGTTAATGCTTAAATTCAAGGATATGCAGACTTTCGAAACATTCTGTAACATACATTACGTAATTCTTTTTGGAACGTTCTTTTGCGATATCTATAAATATATATATACAGGAATGCTTTTTTATCTATTTATTGTACAGTCCTGTAAACTTAGCGAAGCAACCAAAAAATGACCAATCAAGCTAACGACACGTATCTGTGGCCATGACGGTGTAAGCAAACTTCCTTAGCGCATAAAAAGGTTCTTATTAAACTTTTGTTAGTCGATTGAAAAACTGCCCACAAAGCAGTTCAAGTCTTTAGTATCAACGAGAGCACAGCAAGAAACATCATCAGCACCTACAAATGAGAAGGTCCCATTTTCCAGTAAAACTGCGGTGGAAACAACAAAGAGAAGCTGGGAGTCTTGCAGCGCATTGAAAACATATTTCAACGACATCCAGATGATACTTTGGTGCAGATACAATAGCGAATAAAGGAGAACGGGACTGATCTGGCCATATCTTCAATTTTCGTTGGCCTCAAAAAGCTTAAAATCACTCTAAAGAAGTGCATTTATGAACTTGACTGCGTCAATAGCATCACAATGATTTTAAGTCGCCAAACTTTTGCTCTCGACTTCACAGCACATGCTCCACTAGACAAGGAGAAATGCGTCTTCATTGATGAGTGTGGATTCAATCTTCATTTGTGATGGACATAGGCTCGCTCGAGAAGAGGAACACGATCAAACATTATCCTGCCCACAGTGAGAGGCTGCATGGTGACACTAATTGTGGCGACGAACAACCAAGGCATAGTTCACTCAAAGATCATTGATGATGGCACCGGCAATGGCTAAAAGTTCTGCACATTTATTGAAGAGCTTGTGACATGTATAGGGAGCAGGGAGGAGCTGACCGGTGCATGGCTGATAATAGACAATGCCAGAATCCAAAAACCAGATGATCTACAGAGAATCCTGGGCTCGGCCTATCATCTAAAGTTCCTGTCAACTTACTCCTACATGCTGAACCTGACAGAAAACCTGTTCTTCATAAAGGCATCAGCTAAGCACCTGCTGTGCAATCCAACTCCCAACCAGACACTAAGCAAGGTCATTGAAGAAAAAACTAAAACAGCAACACAGCAAGACTGCATAAATTACATCCTCCAAATGATGAACTTGATGACAGCAGCAATAGGACAGCTTATGATCTTGTAAGATGAGATTTGTTTTCTCATTACTTTCTTTGTCAAGAAGTATTCATTGTTGAAAACAAACTGTGTCCAGTTTGCTTTGAAAAGTGTCCTATTTGATTTGAAAATCATCGAGTTTGGTTTGAAAAACATCCTATGTGATTAAAAAAAAATGTCCAGTTTGATTTTAAAAGTTTCCAGTTTAAAGTGAAAATGGTATAAAAAAACACACACACACATAGATGTTTAGATACTAAAATAAAGCAGCCATTTCTGTGGTGTTGTTTAAAGTTTTTCTCAAACATATATATGCCAACAAAGGAGATTTAATCCCGTTCAATGTTGCTATGTCATTTGTTTAGGAGAGGCCTTGCCAGTGTGGACTGTTTAATTCAACACCTTTATGAGAGGATTTGCTTCCCATGTGGAATAAAACATGGATATAAACATGTTCAGTACAGCAAGTTTTCATGTTGCATTTTTAATAGTTTGTTCAGATAGATTTGTTTTGTTTAAAAAACATTTTAATATGCACAGCTTGTTCTTAGTCTTTCCTGAACACCCTAATGGGCTGGTGCCAGTTACTTTAAATCATGCTACAAGCAGTAGAAGGTCTACGGACATAACCATAGCATATTATTATATATATTACACTAACACACACACATTTCAATGTTTATATATATATATATATATATATATATATACATGTGTGTGTATGTGTGTGTGCATGTGCAAGCTCACACACACACAAACACTAATAGCATAACATACAGTAACTTTTATGAAATTCACTGTTCAAAATGATCATAAAATAAAGTTATTATGTGTTTAAAAGATAATGTTAGTCCTACTGCTGATTTATATATTAGACATATACGTACTTAATAGCAATTATGGGGACAATATTTAAAGTGCAGAAAAACAATGGAATCTTTGACACTAAAAGAAACAGAATGCAACATGAAACTTTCTGTGTCTTGATAAGCTGCCTTTCTCTTTAACAGTCTTCGGCATTGCATAACTGTGAAACAAATATTCTGTAAGTACCAAACACAGTCACATAGTGTACTTATTCAAAATCAGCAACAAAATGCAACATTATATATATATATACTGACCAGCATAAGATAATACGCGGAAAGGTGTGGGGTCATAAAATGTTTAAACTTACAAATACATGCCACAAAATGTTAACAACACTTACAAATACACCTAGAGATCAATACAGCTAGCTACATGTGAAAGGAAAAAGTGCAAATGACTTGTAATTTAACATATTCTAAAACCATTTCAGCAGAGATGTTCATGTCTCACAGAATCTAAATGGTGGTACTGATTCAGTGTGAGAAATAATCTACACAAATAAAGAAAATATATGAGATAGCTTTAAAAAAACAAAAACCTCAAAAAACACACATCAGGAATGAATTTATAACAAGTGGAAAGCATATTAAATATGTACACTAATGGAGTTTTCTGATTACAGTAAAAATACAAGCAATAATATATAATATATATTGTATATTGTGTGTATGTTGTTGCTTATGTTAGTTAGCAATATTGTTTTAGATATCAACAAAAGGGATTTAATATCAATAATGTATTACAACATCAACATTACTGCGTGAGTATGTATGTAATTCCACTCAGCAATTTTACCACATAGCTGCATCCATTAATTTAAACTATACCTTGATTGGATTCACTAGAAAACCAACACTGGTTATAACTACGAAGAGGATTTTCTCAAACACCTGAACAGAACAGACCAAGTACAGTTTTTCGCTTACACACTGGACACTGCAAACTAGAAACTTTACCTTGATTGGATTCACTAGAAAACCAACGCTGGTTATAACTACGAAGAGGATTTTCTCAAACACCTGAACAGAAGAGACCAAGTACAGTTTTTCGCTTACACACTGGACACTGCAAACTCAATAAATACTCATATAAGTTAGGTATGAACCAAACAGCTCTATGCCAGTTTCTTCATGCTAAACATACTTCAGAACATGTTATGCAAGACTGTCCTCTCTTGGCGAAGCTGCGGAGCAACAAATGGCAACAAACACTAGAACTGACAACTAAGCTTTGGGGAAACCTAAGAGACCTTGAAAAGACATCCCAGTTTATGGCCCACAGTGGATTATGCGCATGACCAGCAGAGGTCACTGAAGAAGAAGAAAAAGGATTCACTAAAATAAAATGCTACTGAGGCTATCTGAATTGCTTTAAACTACAAAAAAATTGTATAATTAATCAGTGCATAAGTTCAGTAACAAAAAAATAACAAATATACAATTAAAAAAATAGATAAGTACTGATTAGCACTCATAGAAAGGAGTAAAAAGATACACTTGACAAGGTGAAAATCAAAGACTAAAATGACAATCACAGGATATAATTATTAAGTACACTGACACATGGCATGGACAATCCACCAAAACTTTCATGCCCTCAAGAATTCCTCATCTGTTTACTTTTGTATACAGCAGCAAAATATTAATGAATGACACCCCAATATTTATACTGCTGGTTGAATATTATTATTAGGAAGATATTAAAACAATAGTTGTGGACTACAATTAGCAAACTGTGAAGCACTTTCACATTGGTGGCGCTCCATCTGTATACCGTAACATTGGGACCATAGAGTATTGTAAATTATTGATCTGCATGCATCCATTTTCATCTTCACATACTGGCATTAGCCAGAAAAGCAGCCACAGCAACAGGAGTAGTAGCTGAATGGGCAGTGCTGCCCTAAAGACACGTGTTAGCAGTGATGGGCCCACTGTTTTTGTGGTGTGCTGTACATCAACCTTCTCAGGCTTATGTTCTGTACTCAATCTGTGGATAAAGAAGATCTATATTATGTAGTTGATGACTATGAGTAGTGAAGGTCAAGACTATCTGTTGCTGCAGGCAGAAATGTGATGACAATAATCAGGTATCATTATCATTAAGTACTAGGACAAGTGGCATGGGCATTTTCCTGTTTCTGTTCATTTAGCCAGTTGTCTGTTTCAGTTTTTACTGTCCATGTGACTAAAATGCTGATTTTTTTTCTTACAGATGTTTCTTTCAGACATGAGGATTATTTCTTTGACCACTGATGGTATTTACAAAACTTTTGTGAAAAACCAAATGTCTGTGGCATCAAAAGATATTTTGCTTTCTTACTCATTGTTTAGGATTGAAAGCCTTGTTAAAATTGTTTACATGGTACACAAGAATTATTTTGCTAGTTCCTGTTCTCAACATATTGGCATTCTCCGCCTTCCCCAAATTATTATAACTATACAGAACTTATTATCTGCAGCTGTTACAACATTTTGGGTAAGAAATGTATGTGAGAATATAAGAATCAACACTGAAAAGACAGAAGTAATGTCAATAGGAGAAAAGAAGACAGATCTAAACATAGCAATAGAGTGCAAAGGCATTAAACAGGCATCTGAGTTTAAATATCTGGGAACTACATTTACCAAAGATGGGAAATTGGATAAAGAAATTAACATTAGATGCAGTAAAGCAAACCAAGTATTGGGACAGCTTGCCCCCCTCCCCCTTTCAGCATAAGACAATCCCAATCAGCACAAAGAGACATCTTATTCAAAGCATATTTTTTCCAACTCTGTGCTACCAGTGCCGGACATGGTCACTCACAACAAACCATAACAGAAAATTAGTAACCACGGAAATGAGATGTCTGAGAAGGGCTGTAGGAGTGACCATAAGAGATAAGATCAGGAATGAGATCATAAGAGAAAAAGTCCGCACAGAACCAATTCTAAATTACATACAAAGACAGCAAGTGAAATGGTTTGCCCACTTAGAGAGAATGCCTTGTGACACCATACCATACAAAGCATACATGGAAAGAGAAGAAGGACGTAGAGCACGAGGTAGACCAAGAACAAGATGGAAGGATAACATCAGAGAAACTCTACAACAGGACGATGTGCCTATGGTCGAGGTGGCCAGAAGAGATAGAAACAGAACCTTATATCTCCCTCGACACCCACAGCAGTAAAAGAGGAAGTGAAGAAGAAGAAGAAGAAGAAGAATGTATATTGACAAAAATGTTACTGTTGCAAGATGAGAATAAACATTCATTATAAACCAAATTAGATTTGAATGTATGTTGAAATTTGAATTAAGAATCGACATCATAGCACTCAGGACACCCCCATAAGTGCTCCATCCCCATTTTCAGCAGCAAGAGTTCCAATTCTGATGGCACCAGTAACTGTCAGATTGTATATTTGTCTCGCTTCCAGATGGCCCTCACAACGTCTAGCATGTCATACATCAATTCACCACCAAGTGGTGCAGAACCAGCCAGTTTATCTGCCTGCTCATTTCCCACACACACTGGCATGACCTGGAGAGAATATCCAAAGGATAATAACTACCCGAGACCTCTGAAGTGATGCCTGCCACTCTGAATGGAGCATACCTGTATTAGATGTGAATGACAAAATGTGATGTCAATGTTGGATGATGCAATTATTCCCCCCCCCCCCCTTAAAAAAAAAAAACAGGTAGTGATTATCTGTAATTGGTATTAATTTATGAATGCAAGTTTATTTAAACTTAAAATTATTCTAAGGCGTGTAAACTGTCTGTGCAGACAATGCCACTAGATTTATCTGGTGAAGGTCCATGCACATTAATATGTCTAAGCCATGCAATGAAATAAGTAAAATAACAACAAAGACACAAATTAGCATTAGGAACAGCAATGGTATTTTCTCCCCTAAAAGCCTTGCCCAAAGTTATTTAAAAGAGAAAACGTTTAATTATTAAATTATCAAATTATTCTATTATTGCACTACAGACAAGTCAGAAGAACTCCAATCTTAACCTTAGAATGTCAGCAAGTATAGGACAATGACTTCTGCAGGTTGGGGATGGTTCATTAATATTCTTGTGTTCTGTATCAAACCTGTAAGTTTTGCAACCCCATGCTAGATAATTTTTCAGTTTTACAAATGCATTAACAAAAATACAAGCAATATGACTTGATTATTCAGCTAGATCTGAGCCTAGACTAGTTAGTGCTTATAAAGTTAGAAATTTAATGTAATTTATGCTGCATATTTGAATCGCACAAATAGCTGACCATGCCCAACAAAGAAGTGCAAAACTTACCAGTTTCTGACTGAGCAATATACCAGGGCTATTGCAAAATCAACCTCCGATTTGCTGATAAATGTAAACTGTTTGCCACAGGACACTGTTCAATGTTTGCATCATTCAGTAGCTTTTAGTTAACTACACACCAACCTACATTTGCATTTCTTCATTGGTTCACAAACTGTGAACGAACAAACATGGACACTGTTACTGCCTTTCCCGTAAGCTATGAAATTCGTGGTGTGATTTTATTTCTTCAAGCAGAAGGTCAAAATACTGCTGAGATTCATTGTCGACTGTGTTTTGTGTGCGGTGATAACATTTTGAGTCTGTAAAGGCTTGGTGTTAGAAATTCAGAGTTGGGTGTAAAGATGTGTATGATGAGGGTGGACGGATGATATTCATGATGACATATGAGCTCATTCAAAAAGTCGACCAAGCCATATTGGAAAAGTGCTGTTTCACAATTTCAGAACTTTCTACAGATTTTCCACAAGTTATTAAGACTAGTCAGTTTCAAACTGTCACAGAGAGATTGGGTTGCCACAAATTCGGTTCACAGTGGGTACCAACGCGGCTGACTGATGTTCAGAAAGCTAAAAAAATGGGATGAGCTTTGAAGTATTTTGCAACAGAATAGTGACCGCAGATGAGACATGGGTTCACTTTATGAATGCAGACATGAAGAAAGAGTCAAAACAGTGGATGCATACTCATTCTGCTTGAAGAAAACAAATCACACCACCAGTGCCCATGTCTATTCACTTCTGAACCACTGAACAAGGAATAATGAATAATTGCTGAATGTTGCGAACAATGAACAGTGTTGTTATGGCAAACAGTTTATTCTTACAGCCAACTGAAGGTTGGTTTTGGAATAGCCCTCATAAATACCATACAGATGCACAAAGCAATATCTGAAACCAAGCTATAGCCATTTATGATACCATGTAAATGATGTCCTCAAGTCAAATCACATTTAGTTTGACTAAAGTGGTCTTATTACATTTTTTTTTGGGTTATAGTGCGTACATTTACATACTTTTTTTGTTTTTGCAAAGCATTATGAACTTAAATAGTTGCCTCTTTTTTAATAGTTTAGTGAAACAAACCTTTGTGATTAAAAAAAGTCCATCCCAAATCTTGATTTAAAGAAGTGTATAAACTAAGAAAGCACAAGAGCGTACATGCCCATGAGAAGCAACCAACAGCATTGTCTACCTCAAATAAATAACATTAAAACAAGAACCTGATGTCATGCCATAGAGTCAGTTTGCAAATTCTAAATTCTTGTTAGTGCTGCATCAGCAAAAGTGGCTGACAATATAAATATGGTTAAAAAAAAACACACAACAAATGCTCCGTACTCAGTGCCTTGTTACCACATCTGTGCCAACACATTTCCCCTACCATGGAATTTCCTAACACAGCTGGTCTAAATCAGTCACCCTAAAATAATTAAGTACTAGCCACTCTAAAAGATAATTCCTAGCCTATTCATGAAGCTTACAATGCACAGAAAGAAGAAAGAAACCACTATTCACATTTATCTTAATGAAATGATAGTGGTAGTAATTTAAACAACAACATTTTGTTCAACCCATCTGTATTATAACTGTGATATACAGTTTTGCATCTGCTTACTTCAGTGTAACTAAAATGACCAGAATAATCTTTTTTTATTTACATCTGATGGCTAAGAGATGCAGTTTCCCAGAAGAATGCTACAAATTTCCTGGTCAGTCGAAATGTTTTGAAAGAGGCTAAAATAAGAGGAAACATCAGAAAAAGAATCATAATTAATTTTGGACCACATGGGAAGACACAAACAAACTGGAAGATACAGTAATAGCTGGAATAATTAGGGAACATGAGATAGAGGAAAATGCCCAGAGATGATCCCTGGCAGTGTTTTGTCTTGGCATAAAAAGGTATCCAGGAGCAGGTATCCAGTTAAGAATGCAGAGCTCAATCAGGTGTTTCGGTTCAAATTATCAGTAAGATTGTGGATATCTTTTCTGCAGGGTTGGAGGAGGGGGGATATAAGGGGGGATAAAATCCTAATTTGCACAGTCCATGATAAAAGCACTGGCCCCGCAGTCCTAAATTCTCAGGCTCAAGCCCCCACCCCTCCACACACACTGCAAAAGCGGTAAATACAGGCAGTCTTGGACTTTGAAGGGGGGGGGGGGGCAATAGAAAGGTATCAGTAAACTGAAATGATACATACTATTCAAGATCACAAGATATGGAAAAACACCCTAATTTCCCCTGCCAGTTATCATGGTGTTAACAAACACCTACACACACAAATATATATATGTAAATTTGCAAAGATAAGGGAATCCCTTCAGCTTTAACCCTTTTGCTGCTACATATCCCAAAGTAGCATGTACCACTGGGCTAAACCAAAAGCAAAAAATGAGCTGATGGTGCTGGCTATTTTTTTTTTACATGAAAACATTTATAGCTAAGGCGACTGGTGGTTGACCTGTGTGCTGACAAGTCAGATGCACTGTGGCGATGCCAAGAAAATCCACCTTCACAGAAAGGAAACACTAGAAACAACGTTTAATTACCAGCTCCATCAGGGATCTACTTCTCCTTTTTGTTTGTCCTACTGCTTCCTCCACGAAGTGTCTCAGAGAGGAGATAGATGTAGTATTCTATCTTTAGCTAACTGTGTAACAAGCAGTGTGGTGGTGGGCGGGGGGAATTTAGTCTGAGAATTTAGACTGCGTGTCCAGTGCTTTTACCACGGACAGTGCAGATTAGGATTTTATCCTCCTAGCATCCTCCCCCCCCCCCCCCCCCCCCCCCAACACGACAGAAAAAATATCCCCAACCTTACTGATAATTTGAACCTGAATCGCCTGCTTGAGAGCCCTGCATTCTTAACTTTTCAGCCGTCTGCTCCTCAATACCTTTCTGTTAATGGTATACTGCATTTCTGAAGTGTATTTTTTTTACTCCATCCACCGATCTGTTTTTTTTTTTGTTTTTCTCTGACAGTACGCTCTGGCTGCTGGATGATTTTGTTCCATTCTGATCAGATGACCAAACCATTTGATTCTTTGATGTTCTATAAAATCATTTATCGGTACTGTGCCCACTATTGTTTTCCTAATTCTTTGTTGATGACCGCCTTTCAGTGCCCACCACTGTTCTTAATTCTCTGTTGATGACCGCCTTTCTACTTTAGTCATAATTAATTATAGTCACACTGTGGTGAGACATGATTCGATTGCAAAGACATTGCAAGGAACATTGCGGGGTAGTCGAAAAAGAGGAGGGCAAAGAAGAAACTGGAATGACAACATCAAGAAAGGGACAGGACTAAGTTATCATACACTTTATTCATCAAGCGGAAGACAGAGAAAGATGGTGGCTTTTTGTGCCATAGCTTCCATCAATACACCTCCACGACCCTAACGGGTGAAGGGTTATGTTATTTTATAGTCACCCAGTTAATATTTTTTAAAAATCTAAATACTTGCTGAAAGTGTTGAGAACTCTAAAGCTAAAAATATACAGTAAAAATATTTGTAGAAATTTAAAATATTTAAAAAAAAAAAGTTTCAGTTTAGTTTTTTGAATGCAGGGCCTTCCATGTGTGTCAGGTGGATGTGATAACCACTACACTAGAAAATCATAAGATATCGCTCTGTAAAAATAAGACTAGTATTGTGCAATGTGGACAGACAGACACATGTATTCTGTTATACAGTACAGAAGATAATTAATTTTAATCCTCATTATCAAGTCAGTGAAAGTTGAGCTTTTTGTTGTTCACTGGAGGACGCTTGTCCAATCCTAGTGATGTTGATGGCTGCATCTGATCAGCTTGCTAACTACTAGAAGCACATATGTCCTGAGTGCAGTGGAAAAAACCTAACTCATAACTCACGCATTTAAAACCAGGTAAATAGGTATTCTCATTCTGCTGTAAAAGCTGTACAAATTCTTTATTTCAAATAGTGAACTGTGAGCTGTACTCTTTCTGCCAAATAAGCATGCATGAAACAAAATGCAATGCAAAAACCAATGCACCATTTATAAAAAAAAAATTAAATTAAAAAAAAAGATTAAATTATACAAGCAAAGTTGCAGTGCCATGAATCAGTGAGGCAGGATAAAGTGCTAGTTGTGTTTAACCCCAAAAGCTTCCATTGAACTCTCATCATGTCAACTTCATATATTACTCTCATGTTATGCTTAGTATTTAAACAAATAACAACAAACAGCTGATGAACTGTCTTTTTAAATTCAGGGCTGAATGTAGAGAAACATTTTATATTGATTGTAATACTCTGATTATTTTTTAAAAAAAAAAGTAATAAAAAGTGTCACATTTAACAAAGAGAACACATGGTTTATTTCCTGCTCCTGTGGTATAAAATTTTACTACTTTTATTGTGCTGATTACAAAAAGGGTTAACTTTTAAAATAAATAAAATGTTAAAAAACCCAGTGATCTCTTTACCTAAAAAAAAAAAAAAAAACTAAATCTATAATGATTGGCGTTAAGTTGAAACAACCTTCCACTGATATAGAGAAAACAGAGAGTTCAAGACACAATGCTCCATACATTCTGCATACCCTGCTTCCACAAATTTGTGAAAACAATATAAGAAAATAAGGAAACAAATCTGTCTATCTTGTGTAATGAGGGTGCAAATTATTTACTTCTCTATATCCTCTGCTCTTGAAGGTAGAGATGGTAACCGCTGTGGAACAAGAGTAAGTGGAAATACCATGATATGTGAATAATGATGCTCAAGTTCTACATAATTATTTTTTTTAAAAATGCGACTGAAAGATTAAATTGGATTTCCGAGTGGACAGCTCACCATTATACTTTGTTTTTAAGTGTAGTGACTACTAAACATATCTGCCAGTCTGGTAAATCAAGGTTCAAATCCCTCTGAAGGTGGAGTCCATACCATGGCTACATGGCTCCAGCCACAGGAAATAGTTTGAGAAAACTCTAATATAATACACCTGGAGCTGGCCATAAGCTGCGACTGTGACAATGAAGGAAATGTCAGAGTACTGAAGTTATGTAGAGTTTATTTGTTCCTTATCTACTATGTACTGAAACATACAATCTCTGCTTGACTCTGCAGATGATACTAGGAATAAAGCGATGATCCTGCAAAAGACTTTAGGCTATCCTCTGACTAACGGTCGGCAAAGATGGCGGTCGAAAAATATCCTTTCGAGCCACAGTCGCGTGACTTAATTTGCGGTTCTCCTGCGGTTTTCCGGCGACTATCACCACTGCCACATGTCCCCCACACCTCTCACACAGCGTGGAATGGGGCTAAACTAGATGGCTAGGACCCACGAGCAGCAGCCGCAGTGTGCTCGTGACCGCTAGTGAGCAACTGACTCGCCGCCATCTTTGCCGACCGTTAGTCGGAGGATAGCCAGACTTTATAAATAAAAAACCCTACTTTTCAAAAACTAAACTAGTTATCAGTGTAGTTGATTATCTCATTCGACGTCAGGTGACAATCCCCATGTGTGTCTGGTCTTGGGTTTGAGCCAAGAAATATAAAAAAAAAAAAAGCCACATACTTCCCATATAAATGGTGAACATGGCACCAAGGCTGAAGGGCTTTGATGCTCACGACACTGAGCCAAATGAGTTATGCTCAAGTGTTTCTGGGTAAAATAAAAAAATAAAAATCATATGCTAGTGTGACTTCATCACTGTCAAATGATTGTCTTAGGACTGAAATTTAATTGATTTAGGAAATTCTAATGGAGTCATTTTCAGGAGTGGAAGAATCTCAGTATTCAAATACTTAGCAACATCTTAAGGCCGCACAAGCTCTGCTCAGTGAGAGGGAATACTACATTGAAGCAAAGTACTTGCTATCCTTTGTTTTCTTGCCATGACCTTTTTTGAGTTCGGTATGATAAGTTGCATTTTACTGTCTATGAACTGGCCACAAAGCAAGTAATTTTTTATTAGGATACCTTTGGCGTCCCGAAATATTATCAGCATAACCTTTCCCGCAGATTTCTGTGCTTCCAACTTGACAGGTGTTAAGCAGCCTCTGAGTTTCATTTGACTAATCAGCCCATTTGAGTGGCCATTCTTAACTCACTGAGTCGCAATCAACTCTTTGTTCATTTACTGGTATGCCTTTAGCTCCAAGTAGCTGTTATAATTATCAGTAGGGCTGTACCGAATAGTGATTTTCACTATTCGGCAGAATACGAATAGCTGGACCAACTATTCGGCCGAATACGAATATGAATAGTGAATCATCATCATCATGTGCTTTGCCGGCTGGCATGGGCGATTATGCCTCGCCACAATCTGCGATCTCCTGCAGCACGTATTAGTTCGTGTGCTGACACACCTTCATGAAAAACCTTTGTTCCATGTTGTCAGCATTAGGCCAGCTTTTTGTCTCACTGAAGGTATTTCCAGCTGTACCAAACAGGAAAATACGACAAAATGAAAACCCGCAAGGCGAAACATCAAAAACCAAAATAACGCAGACGAAGAAAACAATGCCGTCCTTACAAGTCGCCCAGCCCCCCGCGAGCTCACGAAACCAGACGCCGGGCGGCCAACGCCAGAAGATCAAACAACAAAGACAACGAAGAAACCGATCGTCGATCAAAACATTCAGCTGATGCCGTTTCCACGTTACGACGAAAGAACAGATACGACACCCATAAATGATGACGAACTCCCGTTACTTCAAAGAATCAACGAAGAGGACACTCCACTCAAAGAAATCAAGCTGACAACACTAGAACACTTGCTTTTCTGCCCCTCTTACATTTTTAAGTGTTGCATTTTGTTTCTACAGCAACACACCTAAAAACACTATACTCGCAACACATGCAAGATGGAAATAAAGGGGCACTTGGTACGCTCGTAGGTGGTGCACAAAGATAACGCTTCACAGTATAAACCAAGGTGGGAAGTCTTGATGTTTTTTTTCCACCAGTCCAGAAACGGTTGTGAGGTAACCACTATTTGTATTCGGCCCGACCGCAACTATTCGGCCGAATACTGAATAGTTATTGGGTCCACTATTCGGCCTCAAAACGAATATGAAGCGAATATTCGGTACAGCCCTAATTACCAGTGTTAAAATGTTACTTTTATCCTTTTGGTGCCTTAGTAAGGCTATTTAAACCTTCTAGATCGAAACAAATATTACTGTAGGAAAATTACATAAGGATCAATGAGTTAAAGTGATACCTTCCTGGGACTGAAAGAGTTGAACGTTTACAACATTTCTGAAAAAGAATGATACAAATGAAGGAATCATGAAACACTACTTTCACCTTTCTGTATATTTTGTCGGTGTTTATCCCCCCACCTTGCCCCCAAATAACACCAAAAATTTTATACAAACCCTGCTCTTTTTTGACTTCTCTACTGTTCTGACAAATCACAGGAGCAGCAGTTCAGTTAATAGGGTGTAACACAGTAAGAGAATCAGTTGAAGAGACAAATGATAACCCAGAGTGGGTTATATTGGTAAAAATATGAATGCATGAACATTCAGCGCAGGCAAATTACCTTTAATTATCTAGATTTAAAGATTGTTTAGATGTCTATTGTAAGCGCTGAAAATAATCTGAATTTGTTTCAATTTGTCTACTTACTCCTTACACTTAGCCATAACATATTTTACCACAATGTATCAAATGATTCTTTCTACAGCATTTTCTTCCTATCTTGTCTGCTTTTGCGTTTCAGTAAAATCAAATGTCTGAAAGCATCACGACATCATAAGACAATCATTTTAATTTTACCTGTTCATCTTATTTTATAGTTTTTACAAGATAAAGTTATTAAAATATATTGTAAACCAAAGTTATTTTCCAAAGTTTCTTTCTTTTGTTCATTTCTGGTTAACTTTTTCTGTTTTTAAACAATATTTCCATTAATTATTTCTATGTTTATTTGTGTGATGTTACAAAATGCACCTAAGGTTCCCATTTCATATTCCTTCATCAGTCACATTCTGTTGAAAGAAAAAGAAATTTATAAAAAAAAAAAAAAAAAATACAGACTACTGCATCAGTAAGATGAAAGTTCAATATTGAAGATAAGAAAACTGTAGCTTTATTAAAATATTATGTAAAAAATACAAATATACTAACCAGGCGTGGTGCTGCAAATGGTGACTGGTTTCCTGCTCTTAGGGTCAGTGATTGAGGCTGTAGTGGAGTGGATGATCTGGATGCAAAACAACTTCCAACACCTGAAGACTTTCCTTCATTTGTGTCAAAACTGTCATGCTGTAATTATTATTAATGCAAAAGTTTCTCTCAATTATATAGTCTCTAAATAACAATACATATCATGTAGGTGATGTTTGTGAAGTGAATGTTCATAATAAAGAAGGGAGTTTACTAATTTTTTTAAGTCCCATGTTTTTATGCAGATGTTCAAAATTAACTATCCACTGTGAGAAATTATTAGTGTTTGACATTTTCAGAAGTGAAATATACAACAAATGTAGCTAGAGGTAAGCAAGTTTTTTAAAAGTATTTTTGTGACCAAATATAAAAGTAGCTACCATACAACAGCAGCTCTCTATATAATATACTAGAATTAATTGCCCAGCTTCACCCGGATAACAATTTGGCAGACAATGTGGTCTTTTCTGCAGATTGCTTAGATAATTCCTGGTACTTATTTTAATGTAGCCTCGGCACAGAAGTGCCAAAGTCCCAAAGTGCGTAATAAGTACTATTATTATTACATTCTTATGTATCGAGTGAAAAGGACCTCTTGACGCAGAATTAAAACTTTGCACATGGATCTGTTCAACAGTTGTATGCATTTGTATATTTGCTAGATCTAAGCGTCAAAGACAATAATAGTGAAATGTATTTTCAAAAAAATGAATGCAAGGGACATAAGAGAAAGAAAATATTCAAAGGGATATAACTCCAGTAAAAGGTTACTTTTACTGATGGTTGTGCTAACAATGTGACTGTTAAAACTTTGTAATCTTCTTCTTTTTCAGCATTCCGAGCCCTTGAGGTTTATTGCTGCAGATATCACCCACCTCCATTCATCTCTCTGGTTGGCCTTCTCTTTCCAGTTGGTGACACCAAGTGTTTGCAGGTCTGTCTGGACATTATCTCTCCATCATCTTCTTGGTCTGCCTCTGGCTTTTGGGGTAGGAGGGGGCAGTAGCACAAATTTGGCATAGCCATAGATATGGCCTAGCGACTGAAGGGGGCTTCTGGGACCTCTCCATGGGTGATTGTCATCTACATGCTCCTCCGAACTGTACATGCTCTCCCACAAGGCACTAACCACGTCTGCTTTATCATGCATCAGTATTCCACCAAGTTGTGCATAGCCAGCCAGTCTGTCTGCCTGTTCATTTCCCAACACACCGGCGTAACCCGGTGAAAAAAACCAGACAATACTCCTCACCTGTGTCCTGCCACTCCGCACAAAGAATACCTGTTCTCATCTTCCTCAGCATGCTTTCTGAGTCAGTTACAATCACGATGTATGTGTGTGTCGTGTTCTCTAGCTAGCCGAAAGCTGCAGTGACCGCCTCCACCTCCATTCTTAAGCTGGATGTTGTGGCTCTCCAGCACCAAACGTCAACCATTAATTTTTGCTAAGAAGCCCCAAGCACTTATTTTGCCTCTTGACAGTGAACTGTCTGTGTAAATGATCAAATCCTCTGAGCGAGCATTATCTCCAATTATTTGCTGAATTTCCACCTCCTTGTTGCACCTGCTGGCCAGTCTCTGCATTCCCGGCTCAGCGTGATTATGACTTTACACAAGTCTAACTGTTCAGGTGGCACTTTGACCCACTCCTCTCCTCGCCTAATGTTCTCAAGGATGCAAACCTGTCTGATTGTTTCTTCTGCCTGAGCCATCCATAACCTCCCTCTTATCAGCCACTGACCATTAACTGCACCCAGAGCTTCATGCAAAGGGTGGTCTGTGTCTGCAGATACCCTGAGATATGACTTCGCCTGCAGCACCTTGTGCCTACCTGCAATCGTCGGCAAACCAAGGACGTATTGCATACACAACACTCAGGTGTCTCTGGTGCAACCCAGAATGACCCGCATAGCCATGTTCTGTATGCGCTCTAGTTTGAGACGGTAAGCAGTCCCAGGCCATAATCAACCACTGACAGGATCAGGTGCTGATATAGTGTGAAAAGTGTGTGTCAATAGTGTGTCAATTGCAGCCATCGTCTCAAGTTCACCAAGTCCTTTTTGGCATCTCGTCACAACACTCTCCACATAGTCCTTAAATGACAGGCTCCTGTCAAATGTAATTCACAGATACTTCATTTTGCTCTCTCTGTTGACGTTTCTGCCATCTATCATGAGACTTGGGGCATTAGCTTTAATGATTCTGTTGTCTAGAGAACACCACAAAACAGACGCCTTTGCCGGGTGGACGACAGCCCTTTTTGCTGTACACCATTCAGTCACTTTGTTTACTGTCGCCTGTAGCTCCCGGGCTGTTTGTTCCCTCTCTTCCCCCTGCCTATATGCAAGTATATCATCTGCAAAAGTTAGTATCCTTCCAGCTCCTGGTGATTCTAGGCTTGCCATCTTTCTTGTATACACGTTAAAGAGCACAGGCAAGATGGCAGATCCCTGTGGCAGTCCTAGGGCCAAAGTGCATGGTTCTGAGGTCCATCATCGCAGTTGGAGAGCAATGAAATTATAAAGGTTTATCAGCCCTTCAAGACCTAAGTGGACAAAATGCACAGGTTTTGCAGGGGTAATTATTAGCATGAGATTCTGGCTTCAAGATCCCCATTTCTTAGGATAAAGAAAGAGGACACAGAACAGTTAATGATATACAACAAATGGACACAGGACAGTCAAGATACTACAGAACATATTTTTGATCAAAAATAATTCATGTCATCTCTGCCTGATTGCTGCAGTCTGTCTCAGGCTGATGAACCAACTAAGGATTTTGGTATCTGGTTTCACTCAAGACAGTCAGTGTATTATAAGTAAAGTGGGGAGTAATTTACATTCCTAAATTTGCTTACTGAAACAAAGCAGCTAGTTCACTGATAAATCAACACTGTATAATTTGTTGGAGAAAAGCTCACCCGAGTTTCCATTTTTGCTGCTGTCTTCAGTCGGGTTTTTAATGCAGTGATATAAGAAGAAATCAAGTGTGTTAATGTCTGCACACGCTTTTGCACAATGTAAATTTTATCACGGGCTGTGGACAATTCTGGCAATTCTGTGTTTTTCAGTAGTTGGTCAGCAGTTTCTTTTAATGACAGTATTGTTTCCTGATTTCTAATAACGTCAAGGTACAGTTCCTGAAAGGTACATAACAGAAGGATTACACAATGTATTCTTTAAATATAGATAATATAACTTTACAAAATGTTACAGTATTAGGTAATGTAATTGGACATCTGTTGTCTTGGCTGTTGTCAAGGATATTTGCCTTACTGTCAACACTGAATGTAAATCTAGTAATATGTCTTATGAACATTTGCAGTAGTCTGTACATCTGTTTTGTTTCATTCTAGACAGAGGCAGCATTACTTTAAAGAAAATTTCAATGCAGTCTCTAGGATCACTGTGGCCAAGGTGAACCTTTTGTGTCAAGTAGGAGGTTGCCATTTAGTAGGACTCTTGCTAGAAAGACATTTGGATCACAGCTTGTCATTCAGTGGACTTTGCTCATTGTCTAAATAAGCCAGCAACATATACTTTGGGTGTCATAATATATGTCAGAGGTTATCCTGACACTGCATCTCTGGGGAGGGGAGGGGGAAGGCATCAGCTCTGAGATCTCCTGCATGCTCAGTATAGGCAGATATGCTGTTATCAAGGGTGCAGTATAAGGGAAATGAGCCTTGCATAAAACAAAAAAGTAAAAAAATAAAGGACCCTTTTCCATGCCTTTAGGCTATAGGGCATATAGGGCTAGAAGTATATTTTGTAGACCAATCAGCACAAGATGGGTGATGTGGTCAGCATCATGCCGGCCGCCTCTACTTCCCGGGACTGCACTCGGTACCCACCCAAGGCTGGGTCGACCTGGAAGCCAAGGTCTTTTTGAAAACCCATGACCTTCCAATCCGCTATGAGCATCAAGCTGCTCTGCCACGGTGACTCCCGTGCCTTGCATAAGGTTATGTAAGACCAGCCTAGACAAAGCTGGCCTCTAAAAATGAAGTACAGAGTATCCCCACAGCACAATGGCCCTAACTGTCCCTCCTCCCTGTAACCAAAATAACCATGCCACATGCATCCTTAACTGTCCCTCATCCCTGTAACCAAAATAACCATGCCACAAGCATCCCTAACTGTCCCTCCTCCCTGTAACCAAAATAACCATGCCACAAGCATCCCTAACTGTCCCTCATCCCTGTAAATAAAAATAACCATGCCACAAGCATCCCTAACTGTCCCTCCTCCCTGTGACCAAAATAACCATGCCACACGTATCTTTAACTGTCCTCGTCTCTGTAACCAAAATAACCATGCCACATGCATCTTTAACTGTCCTCGTCTCTGTAACCAAAATAACCATGGCACATGTATCCTTAACTGTCCCTCATCCCTGTAACCAAAATAACCATGCCACATGCATCCCTAACTGTCCCTCATCCCTGTAACCAAAATAATCATACCACATACATCCCTAACTGTCCCTCATCCCTGTAACCAAAATAACCATGCCACATGTATCCCTAACTGTCCCTCATCCCTGTAACCAAAATAACCATGCCACATGCATCCCTAACTGTCCCTCATCCCTGTAACCAAAATAATCATACCACATACATCCCTAACTGTCCCTCATCCCTGTAACCAAAATAATCATACCACATGCATCCCTAACTGTCCCTCATCCCTGTAACCAAAATAATCATACCACATACATCTCTAACTGTCCCTCATCCCTGTAACCAAAATAATCATACCACATACATCCCTAACTGTCCCTCATCCCTGTAACCAAAATAATCATACCACATACATCCCTAACTGTCCCTCATCCCTGTAACCAAAATAATCATACCACATACATCCCTAACTGTCCCTCATCCCTGTAACCAAAATAATCATACCACATGCATCCCTAACTGTCCCTCATCCCTGTAACCAAAATAATCATACCACATACATCCTACTGTCCCTCATCCCTGTAACCAAAATAATCATACCACATACATCCCTAACTGTCCCTCATCCCTGTAACCAAAATAACCATGCCACATACATCCCTAACTGTCCCTCATCCCTGTAACCAAAATAATCATACCACATGCATCCTTAACTGTCCCTCATCCCTGTAACCAAAATAATCATACCACATACATCCCTAACTGTCCCTCATCCCTGTAACCAAAATAGTCATACCACATACATCCCTAACTGTCCCTCATCCCTGTAACCAAAATAACCATGCCACATGCATCCTTAACTGTCCCTCGTCCCTGTAACCAAAATAACCATGCCATATGCATTACCTATTAGAAAGAAATATTTCTTTTCTAAGTGGGAAGTTCAACTTATAAATACATATGTACTTACTATTGCTTCTACTGCTATTTTTCTCTCTCAAGGGAATAAATGTTACTAAAGCTGGTTTAATTTGTTAATTGTCTTTGACATAAACAACATGTCATTAAAAAAATCTGAAACCTTTTCTGAGGTACTTCTCAAAATTAAACATCCAGGCATGCAAGCACACTGACAAGGATTTTTTAAAACCACCATGAACATAAAAGAAATCTCACTTATAAACAGCAGCACATATAAGAAGCTGACAAACTTTGCTTATGTTCAATAACTGAAGGGCTAAGACAGAACAGTCATGGAAAGCTTGTTTCCAAGAAGAAGATGCAGAGGTCAGTTAGCACAAAAACGGACGCAGGATACTGGAGGATACTAGAATATTTGGGCATGACAATGTATGAGAAATTAGGGACATAGTCTTCTAAGCACGCAATGAAGCAGCAATGTTAACACAAAAACAGAAACACTGGACACACATTCACCTGTAGCTTGGCATACTTCCTCTGTAGAACAGACTGATCTACACTGGAGTTAACTGGCTCACAATGACTCACTTGAGTTTCAATGTTCTCTAGCCATAGATAGTAATTATCTATTCTGGTAAGGAATTCTTCATGCTGAGTCCAGGATGACTGCAGTAACATCAAGTGAAAACATATTATTATATATTATTATAAAAGAGAAATAATAACAAATGAAAATAACAATGTGTACTGATGACCAAGATCATGCATTGAATGATCACACCAGCTGTTCACATTTCTTAACTATTTTTTGGCCTAGCAGTTGGTTTGTTTAAAATTTTTTTTTAAGATCAGAAAATGTTAAAATAGGGATAGGAACAATTTATATGAATGGCTACCCTTATTGTCTCCTCTTTAGGAATCATCTGTATATATGGAGAAGCTATTCTGTTTTAGATGTTGTGCGCATTCAATAGCCATTTTTTTTCATCAACTCAGGACATGATCTCGATTAGCTAATTTGTCACTGATTTCCCGAGAAAATTAACTTCCATGCAGGGATAAAAGGGGAGTGCTTTTTACAATTAATGAAAGGATTATTTAAGAATGCAGACTCACTCAGATATGTCATGCATTTAATAGTCATGGAAGTGTTTTTATTTGGCCTCACATTAGAACTGTTGTTCAAGGAATGATTAATATGCTGGGTGGATTTTGTTATTGGTCACTGAAATTACTGACAGGGAAATTTAGACCTAATTTTTTGCTTCCAGTGTGACATGGTAGTTCAGTATAACAGATGTCTGGGGATGAAATAGTTCAAATATTCAAAATTTCAGTTCATTTGCTAGTAGTTAGTAAGTAGTTAGTTGTAGTCACTAGTAGCAGTTAGTTATTAGTAGTTAGTAGTAGTTAGTAATTAGTAGTAGTAGTTAGTAAGTAGTTAGTAGCAGTTAGTAGTAGTTAATAGTAGCTAGTAGCAGTCAGTTAGTTAGTAATTAGTAGTAGTAGTTAGTAAGTAGTTAGTAGTAGTTAATAGTAGCTGGTAGCAGTTAGTTAGTAGTAGTTAGTTAGTAGTAGTTAGTAGTAGTTAGTTGTAGTCAGTTAGTAGTAGTTAGTTAGTAGTAGTAGTTAGTAGAAGTTAGTTAGCAGAACGTCCAGCTGTATCTTTCAGTCCTTCCAACTGAACCACGGTACATTTTCGGGGAGTCCCCCTCGAAAATAGGTTACTGGCATCGTTTCCATGTTGCATTGTGTGACATCTTAATAGGTTTACAAAGTCCTGTGTTCTAAACGTATTCGCATTACAAATCTACAAGCGGATATTGTAAAGTGGATATACAGCAATTTTAATTTTGATTTTAATTCACGGAAGACAGTCGTGTTGTGATGTGTGTGTCACTGTTTCTAGTCAGTAGTTCGGATTTCTGGGAACTGGCTGTTTATTACTTTTCTACTTTAAATGTAGAAATCTTACTTTTAGGGATAATACAAACAGGTAATTTAGAAGCCATATCTGGAGAATATCGACAGTTGTCATGTGCAAACTATCTTGTGTTTGAAGAAAACTATTGCTTTCATATTGACTATGCATAAATGGTGCGACCACACTGTGGATAAATTGTGTCAAGATATTTCGGAGCTCTAGGTAAGTGGATGAAAATAATATTTAATTTACTAACTAACCTCTCATAGCAAGTCACTCTTTGCCTCTTTACTAATTGTTGACTAACAGTATAATTATATGTTGTAGCAGTACACTAATAATATTAATCCTTAACCATTTGACTTATGCTTTGCGAACACTGGCTGTAAACTCTTGCGGAAACTTCTGGTAGTTCATCCACTTCTTTTGCATATTTGCAGTTCTACGGTCTGTTAATTTTTGTAAACTGGCTTTTGCTTTGCTTCGCGAACACTGGCTGTAAACTCTTGCGGACAATTCTGGTAGTTCATCCACTTCTTTTGCATATTTTCAGTTCTACGGTCTGTTAATTTTTGTAAACTGGCTTTTGCTTGGCGAACACAGGCTGTAAACTCTTGCGGAAACTTCTGGTAGTTCATCGACTTCTTTTGCATGTTTGCAGTTCTACGGTCTGTTAATTTGTGTAAACTGGCTTTTGCTTTGCTTCGCGAACACTGGCTGTAAACTCTTGCGGAAACTTCTGGTAGTTCATCCACTTCTTTTGCATATTTGCAGTTCTACGGTCTGTTCATTTTTGTAAACTGGCTTTTGCTTTGCTTCGCGAACACTGGCTGTAAACTCTTGCGGAAACTTCTGGTAGTTCATCGACTTCTTTTGCATATTTGCAGTTCTACAGTCTGTTATTTTTGTAAACTGGCTTTTACTTTGCTTCGCGAACACTGGCTGTAAACTGTTGCGGAAACTTCTGGTAGTTCATCGACTTCTTTTGTACATTTGCAGTTCTACAGTCTGTTAATTTTTGTAAACTGGCTTTTGCTTTGCTTCGCGAACACTGGCTGTAAACTGTTGCGGAAACTTCTGGTAGTTCATCTACTTCTTTTGCATATTTGCAGTTGTACGGTCTGTGTTAATTTTTGTAAACTGGCTTTTGCTTTGCTTTGCAAACACTGGCTGTAAACTCTTGCAGAAACTTCTGGTTGTTCATCCACTTCCTATGCATAATTGTTACCAAAAAATTTGCAATGGTAAGGAATTGATTTCATCCAACAAGATGAAACTGGACCAATTTGTTTGTGCTGTTTGTACCTTGAGGATACATATTTAGTAGTGCTATAAGTACTGTTAAGAAAACTACTCTGGTGAAAAAAGTATTGCACATATCAATTTCATACTGATTGTGCTTGTTTACTAATTATTAAATAACAGTATAATTTTATGTTGCAGTAGTCTACTAATAATAATAATAATAATAACCATCAATTATTTATATTTATGTTATGTATGATATGTGTATGTTTCATAGCAGTATTTGTTTGCGCTAAATTTGATAAAGTACAAATGTCACTCACCCCCCCCCCCCCCCCCTTTTCCTCTGATGCAATACCCTCTCGGAATCAAAGAGTTAGCACTGATATTTCTTTACTTTTGCTGGAACAACTTTTAGTTTTCATCTAAACGTTATTGATGTTTATGTTCATGTTGACTGTAGCAAAAGCATTTTTGTTTGTCTCTAAGAGCCTTTATTGTTATTTTTATTCGGCACACTTATTTACCTTAAAAATGACGTATAGTTCTATAAAATATGTAGAAAATTAATGAAACTGTAGTTTAATTTGTGTATACATCTCCTCGATAAAAACAGTTAACACAGAAGGACTCAATTCTTGCACAAGAACGGGAATCCCCGTTGACCCAGTTGGCCTATTTATATCTAAAGATGGCCGTGGTTAGCAGTAGTTAGTAGCAGCATTAGTAGTAGTTAGTAGTTGCAGTTAGTAGTAGTTAGTAGAAGTTGGTAGTAGTTAGTTAGTTGTCAGTAGCAGTTAGTTAATAGTTAGTAGTAGTTACTCTCCATTCCTCGTTTGTGTAGTTCACTTATGTTTGAAAAAGGCTGCCCAGCCGAAACGTTACGTTATGTTGTTTTGTGCATGTTTTCCTCTTTCCCATTTTATTGAGCTTTTAAGTCAAATTTCTCTGGAATTCCTAGTGGTAGTAGTAGTTAGTAGTAGTTAATAGTTGGTAGTTTAGAAGTATTTAGTTGTAGTAGTAGTTAGTAGTAGTAGTAGTACTTTTGTCGCCTCTCTTATTTTTACTGGCTATAGACTGGATTATGAAAACAGTAACTGAATGGAATTCAGTGGATCCCTACAAAACAGCTTGATGATCTGGACTTCGCTTGATGCGAGATCACAACATCTTGGTCTGAAAATCTATATAGGAAAGACAAAGATAACGAGAATAAATCAGGCAAATAGTAATGTGGTTTCTCTTAATGGCACTCCACTCCAAGACGTGGAGTCGAACACTTATTTGGGCAGTAATATAGATAAAGATGGAGGAACTGATAGAGATATTAAAATAAGAATACAAAAAGCAAGAGGAGCTTTCATAGCACTAGGGAATTTGTGGAGGTCAAAAGAAATTAAAAGAAATGCTAAACTAACACTTTTTAATTCTAATGTGAAATCAGTACTTTTGTATGGGGCGGAAATATGGAGAACAACTAAGGTACTAATAAATTACAGACATTCATTAACTGGTTCCTGCGCAGAATAGAGGGAATTAAATGGTATGATAGAATAACTAATGTAGAGCTTTGGGAGAGAACTAAACAGGCTCCAGTGGACCAAGAGGTGAGGAAAAGACCTGGCGTTGGATAGGACACACACTGAGAAAACAGGAGGACAGCATAACCAAAATGTCTTTGCACTGGAACCCACAGGGGCATAGGAATGAAGGAAGGCCAAAAAAACACATGGAGAGGAGAGCTGGAGAATGAAGTTAGAAAAATGGGGAGGACTTGGGGAGAGCTCCATGTAATGGCGAAGGATAGAACCTCTTGGCGTGAATTGGTTGAGGGCCCATGCTCCGTTGGGGGGAAAAGAAAGGCAGAAGAAGAAGTAATAGTTAGTAGTCGTTAGTTAGTAGTAGTTAGTAGAAGTTGGTAGTAGTTAGTAATCAGTAGCAGTTAGTTAGTAGTTAGTAGTAGTTAGTTAGTAGTAGTTAGTTAGTAGTTGTTAGTAGAAGTTGGTAGTAGTTAGTAGTCATTAGCAGTTAGTTAGTAGTTAATAGTAGTTAGTTAGTAGTAGTTAGTTAGTAGTTGTTAGTAGAAGTTGGTAGTAGTTAGTAGTCATTAGCAGTTAGTTAGTAGTTAATAGTAGTTAGTTAGTAGTAGTTAGTTAATAGTAGTTAGTAGAAGTTGGTAGTAGTTAGTTAGAAGTCAGTAGCAGTTAGTTAGTAGTTAGTAGTAGTTAGTAGTAGTAGTAATTAGTTGTAGTAGTAGTTAGTAGTAGTAGTAGTAGTAGTTAGTAGTAGTAGTAGTTAGTAGTAGTAGTTAGTAGTAGCAGCAGCAGTAGCAGCAGCAGCTGAAGTTTCAACTTTACTGCAAATGGGTCACCCAATATTCCCCCCCCCCCCCCCCCCCCCCCCCCCCCCCCCCCCCCCCCACCCCCCCCCCCCCCCAAACTATGACTGCCAATCACTAGGCTAGCTAACTGACCTTTGTGCTGCTATGGTTCAAAGATGAACTACTGCCTATATACAAATAAAATCAATCAGGTTGTTACATCTACAGTTGCACTATACACAAGAGAAAGAGAAACAAAGATAACACTGTAGTTAAAATGCTGGCCATTTAATATATTTTACACAATTAACTGACTTCAATAATGTATAATGCCTTTCACAGAGTGCGAACAATGTCCTACTTGTAAATTTAATAAAAAGATATGCTTACTATCAAAAATCATCATAAAGCTTCCTGACTGAATGTGTATCTAATGAATTATACAAAGAAAAGGCAAGATGGACAGGAGAGATGCAGAGCCTCTTCAAACAAGTGTATACAGTTGGACAAATTATTATTTACAAAAGGAATTTTTGCAGCAGTTGTACTAGTGATACTTAATTTTTATTACATTCTTTATGATTTTTTTTTCACCTGTACTTTGGCAGCCTGAGCTAGAATAAGCTTCCACCTCCTGTTCATATCCATTAACTTTGCTTCCAAATGTCTTTTCCTAGATAAATCAGTTCTCAGGTACTTTTGATTGACACTATGCAGATTTATGGACAGCATATCTGCTCTCTTTGATTCCACTTGAGATAAGAATTCCTGTGAGAGAAAAATAAGTAAGAAGTTTAACAATCAATTTTTCATGATTAACATTATAAAAGCAATGTATTAAGACTCAGTACCTGACAATCAGTTAGGGAAGCTGGAACAGATACAAAATGAAGCTATAACTCTTAAAGTCCAAGGAAAAGCATCACGCGCTAATTTGTTACAACCGGGCGGCCCAATCGATACGTGACAAGTGAAGGTTTTTAATCTACCACTGACTGGTAATAAAACACAGACCGCTCAATTTCAACTTCCTTTTGAGTTCTTTGTGTCTCATATCAGGCAGGCTCATTCAGAAATGTGGTTTGAAAGCCAAAAATATAGTGTAATTGCGAGGTTTGCCAAGTTACTAAGTGATTATTTGAAAACAATATGGCCGCCAAGCAGTATTGATTTATAAATTTAAATAAAGTATGTGTTTATTAGATTTAGAAGTTAGATAACATTGCAAATTAGACGTGTTTCTGTCATGTATAGAGTCAAAATTTGATGAGGAATATGTCTAATATGTACCTCACACGAAGGGTACAACGATAGCAAAGTCACACACAAATAGAAAAAACACTAGTGTCAGTTCTAGTGCTATTCCCCTTAATATTTAGGAACATAGCTACAAAATTACAGGCAAATTTAGTATTATATAAACTTTATTTTGTGTGAAGATACTTATTGTTTTGGGAGTCAGTTTTCTTTATCAAATAATGGTGCTCTGTTATGATGCTTCAAAAGATTCTCTGCAACAAAATCTAATGTATAGATTGAGTTTATATTTTACTTATACATTACTAAGTGGTTCATATTAATTTGTGATTCATTTTGGATATATTTTACCCAGTTTTAACCATTTAATTATTTTTTTTTAACATACCATACTACTAATATTTAATTAATAACGCAATTATTTGTTGTAGCTGCATTCTATAATTATTCCTCAACAATCCCTGGTCACTTTGATATATAATATGTGTATGTTGGGCGGCAACTGAATTAGAATGGAAAATTTTAATGTGTTACACTTGTGAAATTAAAAAATTGCATTACCATCCCTTGGGCCTCTAATGCTAAACCCCCTGGGACAAAAAGAGATAAGAGTCATCCTGTGTTTTAAAAGGGATACACCAATTGTGTGCATCGGTGACATACTGTTCTGGCAAAAATTACCCCCCCCCACCCCGGCAGAACAAAAAGAGAATGGAGAGCTTGGGGAAACAGAAGGATCAGTGCAAGAACTGATCAAAGAAAATTCATTACCTGGTGATATCATTATGTGCAAAAATGGATTTGTAGTGACAGGCAAAAAGAGTGAATGGTGTTTCACTGCAAAAGAGATGTCCATAATAAGAAGTAGCAGAACCAACCCCAGCATTTTTTGTCATTTCACCTTCAGTAGTCTGTCGCTGCTTTCTGAACAGCTGGATCTCAGTACCACTGTTGAAACCAACATAAGGTGGTCTGCTGTGAAATCACTTGCAGCTGGGATCAAACCTGGCATCTTGGAATTACAAAGTGCATTCACAATACCTAAGCCACAAACACTGACTTTGTTACCTTAGACTTATTTTTAGAGTCATGAAAACTATACCAATAAAATAGAAAAACACCTAGCAAATAAACTACACATAGGAGACTTACAGGTGAGACACGATCTATGAGGAAAGGTACAGCAGAATGCATTCAAGGAAAGCCAGACCAGATCATCTGGCACTGGAAAGATCAAAACATAGCAGAAGTGTCCACTAGGGATGTGGGCAGGATCAAGAATATCTCTGCCAATGGCTACCTCTATACCCTGTACCTCAGGAACAAGTCATGTGTATATATATATCTTTGCAACTCTTGAACAAATAAATTAATTATAACACCAATCATGCCAAGATGTAGTCATCAGATACAATTTAGCTGTACAAGCTCTTGGATAAGGTATACATATTGGTTAAAATAGGCTGCTGCCAGAAATCAGCAGTCGAACCATCTTAACTGACTGTGGTGTACCAGATAATGAGAAAAAGAAACAGACCTTAAAAAAAAACCAGACTTAAACTGCTGCATTTAAACTGTTGCATTTTGTGTTCATTCAGGTTTTCTTTGTAAACAGCATAATTCCTTTTTTTTTTTAAATATCAGAATGGTACAAAATTAATGCAACTGCACACAAAGAAAAACTTATTAAGCTGAAACAGATCATTCTTGACCTCAAGATGGGACATAACACAAATAACAGGCTGAATAAACACATGTATAAACTTCACCTGTATGCTTCACACTATTCATTTTTGGACAAGGTAAACTGCTCAACTGTATTACAACATTGTCCTCAGTTCAGTATATAAAAGACATACTGACTCATTGAAACAAACACCAAGCTCAGAATTAAAGAAAAAGCTAAAAATTATGTATTTAATTCATCTTGAGAATTCATCTGAAAATGTTACAACTAAAGATAAACTCACAATGTAAACTGCTTGGTGACTGCTAGGCAAGCAGTCTCTATTTCTAGTCCCTTTCAAACTGTCTTATAGCACAAATACCATAACATAATAACATGAACTGAATATCTCATTTAATTCAAAATAATAAACAAAAGAAATAAATATATTTATGTTGCTACGATTTTAACCTTGAACTCAACCAAATATAGTAGACATGGCCACTTACTTTGTATTTTCTGGCAATATCTTCTTGTTGACTTCTTGACTTTAGAGCTTCTGCTTCATTTAACCAGGACAACATACATTCAATATCCCTTTCAAATTGTGCAAGGTTATAGCTTTCTTGAGAGAATCTTAAATCCTTAACATACATCTGAAGGCTTTCCCAACGCTGGACAACAGCTGAAAAAAACCCACATGCAAAATTGATTTTAGATATAAAATAGAAAGTATACGTATGTTAGAACAAAATATTAAATCAAAATAGGAAACAATGTCAGAAGTTGATTACTCACATCTCACTTGTTCATCAATACTGTCAATTGTAAGGCCAGTTTCAGTTTTCAGAAGTCGGTCAAGTGCCTTCACATGTTCAACAGCCGATTCACATTCTGCTAAAATATGTATCTGTAGATAAATAATTGCCATATGTCAGGTTTTCTGCAAGATATGAGTTCTTTGTACAAGTAAAAGAAGAACTGTACCTTACCATATCATTTGGTTCTGACTATATCAGTTTTTCTAACACTTTACATCACTATAATGACTACCATCTTTTCTCATCATCTAATATCATTTTGTTTATGAAATATAAAAATTTACTAAATACAGTGAATTCTTGTTAACATCTTCTGATGACTTGTCAAATGTTTGTATAATGTGTCACTACCTTTTCTCAAATCTGTCCTGTTTAGATCATGCTAGCGTCACTGTCAATTATATTCACAACAGACATAACTATACTATCTTTGTTTAACCATAAAGTCAAAGTATTTTACCAGAAGTATAAAGTTAGCTTATTTCTCTGTACAAAGATGTTTAGAATGAAAGTAAGCAACAAAAACAAAAATGATAGATCAATAAATGAGTTATATGCAAAGCAACCATAACATTTTTAACCACTCAAATATAAACTGACTGGATACATTATGTGGAAATCCAGACATTTAGAAAATGAGCTTTTGAAGAGGGAACTACAAGAAGTTATGACAGACATTCGGAGGCCACAGCCCTGGCAAAATTGTAAAGCAGAAAAATCAAAACATAGGTTAAGCCCATTGCTTTTGATGAAGGCTGTTGAGAGGAAGTAGACTTTACAGAAAGCTTAAGTCTGAGAGTGAGGTGTCCAGTTATGTGTCATACACTTCTCTTAAGAGACACACACACACAAGTGAATAAAGAAAAAGAAGGAGGGAAGGAAAAAAAAACCGAAATGATCAAATAAAATGTTTATCAATGTGTAGAAATTATAAGACAATGTTCAAGTTCAATGTCTAAATGATATTACTGGTGAGAACAATTACTGATGGGCAAGACAAAATAAACAAAATAAATATATCAGTAACTTATGGAAAGATGTACATCCTTCATAAAAATAAATTAGTCAGTATCTATGTTCAGACTACTGCTACAGAATGCAAGTTCTGCTTGACAAAAATAAAACTAAGGTAACAAATATACTGAATGGTGACAAACATTTGGCTAAATTTACCGATTATGTTTATGGAAAGTTGCTGCACAGATTTTACGATATTAAATTTAATTTCTAAAAACAGTCTATGGTCACAAAGCTTCTTTTAGATTCTGAAATATGAAAGTCAATGTTCGAATAGTACTGCTTAGCATGACCATACTTCAACCTAAACAAGTTAGCAAATATTTGCCAAATACACTAAACAAACAAACAGTAAAAACAATGGCAATACAGCATACACTTTGTTCGGTGCCTTCAAAATGACCCAGTGTCCGTTTCAGTGTGGTCAGTTTAACATTACAGTCATCAAGGGTGTCTGCTAGCTGCTCCATCAGAACTCTGATCTTTGTTTGACCTGAGAATGGACCACATTACAACTTGCAGAACCAAATTTAGTTCATGTAAATATGTAGTTCATTTAAGAAACAATAATGACAAAAATCAGATGATATAGTGGTGAACATATTCTGAATGTCTTCTTAAAGTCAATGCTGTGTGGTATTGGTAGCTATGTCTATCCACAACCTTCTGTCTCATGTACCTTCAATCTGAATGTACAGAAATAATATTTAATAAGTGTGTAATTAAAGTATCCTACTGTAAAAGGCCAATTCAGTTACAGTAATAGTAGGTGTGATGATAGTGAATACCCACGATTTGACGAGATGACCCTCGGACAAACTCAGAGCGAGATCAGACAGTTTGACCATGGAATAAACTGTGTCAGCTGAGTTGGACCGAGCCCTTTGCCTAGCGAGTTTCACCAGGTACAGCGTGTCGGAAGTGAATGCTGGAGAGGAACAAAAGGCTCGAACATAGGTTGCTCGGGGAGACGTGTGTAAAAGACTTGTGTAGGATGCTTGGACGGGATGATTGTTGGACAGACGCCTAACGTAATTTATATTAGTGACAATTTGCAAGGATAGTATGAGTGGTTAGGCTTTAGAGATGTTGTGTTTCCATACTGTGTTTTGACAAGAATGTTCGTGGGTAATGTTTCTTGTGTAGTAGAAGTTTTCACATAGAATCTGTTAAGCAGGTAGTTAATGTTGACATGCAATGTTGGTGGTGTTAACACTGCCCACTCGTACTTAGATCACCCACCCTGCGTATGCCACTAAGTCTCGCATGGCGAGGACAACAGCTTAGTTAGCGCTTTACAACAGTGAGCTAGAACCGAGTCCTTTGGTACATCCATGGGAACGGCTCGAGGTGGATTAGTGAATGTAAAAGCTACTACCACCGGCGTTTCGGATTAGAGACCATCCATAGCTGTTGAGGCTTGCTTTAGGTTCAATTGCTCTTTGCACATTAAAGATAATGTGTGTACTCCGTAGGTGTGTGTTCTAGTTGAGCCTGTTAGCTGGCCTACCAACGAACCAGAGTAAGTAGATTATAAAGTAGATTTGTGAGAAATACTTTCACAAATAGGTAAAAATATAACAAAAGAAATGGATTATTAAAAATGCATAGCAGCCATGGAAGCACAGTGGCTAGATGTTTGACTACTGGCCCAAAGATCTCGAGTTCAAATGTTCAAGAGGCGGATTTGAAGAAAAAAAGGGCTGTGGCTGCCAGGTTGACCCAGAAAAAAAAATGAGAACAGGGATATATCTTGGACAGAAAGGTGCTGACTACATGACTCATCAAATGTTGATGGGTCTACACAAATCTGAGTCTAGCCTAGTAATCCCGATTCACAACTGCCAAGACAAAGGGTGCTTTACTTACTTATTAAATACAGAAATATATTTCAATATTAAAAACAATTACACAGTTATTTCCAATTCTTAATTACATACAAAGACAGCAAGTGAAATGGTTTGCCCACTTAGAGAGAATGCCTTGTGACACCATACCATACAAAGCATACATGGAAAGATTAGAAGGACGTAGAGCAAGAGGTAGACCAAGAACAAGATGGAAGGATAACATCAGAGAAGCTCTACAACAGCACGATGTGCCTATGGTCGAGACGGCCAGAAGAACCTGAAACAGAACCTTATATCTCTCTAGACACCCACAGCGGTAAAAGAGAAAGTAAATAAGAAGAAGAAGAAGAAGAAGACACAATATTTACACAGAAGTGCTGAAAGAAACATGCTCTTTTATCATTGATTGACACAGAGGCAGTTTTGCTGAAAGTAAACATGCCAAGCATGAAAAGACCATAAAAGTCTGGAGAGAATGATGCAGTGGCAAGTGACAAGGTGATCTGATCAGCATCCCACACTCAGAGCAAAAGCAAAACAACACCATAATAAAACCTTTACTGGTACCATCAGAACTAGTTCTCTGCACTGCCTGCTGATGATGAGACAGAGCACTTATGAAAATGTACAGATTGCTGTGAAATTAGGTCTGAACTCAACAGGTTCTTTCATGAGGGCAGGAAAAACAACAGATGCTGGCGCCCATCTGCAAGTAACACCACAGATCCACTTCACTGCCACTGATATATTCCTTGCAATGTATTCTTCAGAATTAAATATTAACACTGCAAAAACTTGAAGCCATCTGTTCACACGTTAAAAAATGACCAAAGCTGTATTATTTCACATACTGGTAGTGCAGACATGAAGAACTAAAGGGCTGCATGTGATATCATTTTGTGGGTAAGGTTCTTAACTGTGTGGCACACAAGTTTGTCCCTCTGCAAGTTGGCATGTTTGTTTGCTTTTTCTCTTTCCTATGCATGCGTGCCCTCATACACACACACACACACACACACACATGCATGTATGCACACACACACATATGGAAATATTACAGTCAACAACTGCAGACTTACTTTGATTTAATTTAACATCAAGCAAATCCATGTCTAACATATAAAAGAACCTCTCTGAGGTAAAGAAAGCATTCCTACCATTGAGAAAATAGTCATCCAGAGAGAAAACAGAGAGAACAGATATAACGTTAATGCCCACAGCTATAAAGAAAAAAAAAGCATAAAACAAATAATAATAATAATAATTAAAAAAAAAAAAAAAAACTGAGCTCTACAATATTAGAAATCCAGAATGCTTAAAAAAAAAGATTTCAAGTTACAGCAACAAATCTGACAATGAAGGGAATGATAAACTGATAAACAAAAGGACCAGAGATGAGGTATTGAAGCAGGAAGTTTGTTAGAAACTGAAACAGAAACAAGAGAGAAGCAGGTTATCCATGTCATCAGAGAAATGGTAGATGAGACAAAACTCAATAAAGCTGAGCAGACAGGAGTCATACAAATTACACTGTACATAAAAAAAAAAAAATCAGATATGAACAATTCACTAAGCTAAGGAGCTAACAGGAGATAATTTCTTTTTCTCACACACATGCACCCTGCCCCAACCCTTCCCACACACATGCACGCACGTACGCACATACACAGTGTGGGTGACTGCAAAATGTGAATAAGTATGATTGTTCACATTGGTTGGCAGCCATTTCTTGATGATAATAATGAATGGATTCTTAAGTTTAACGGTAATCTAACTGGTGTGTATAAAAGACTACCTGTGATATCAACAGCTGATCGTGATGGTGACCTTTGACCTGGAGACAATCTTCTGTGTGTAGAAGAAGATCTGGTTATTGCTACTGATTTCGAAGTGGGTGACCTTGACCGGAGTTGAGAAGGTGACTGTGATCTCCGACCTAGTGATTCAAACCTAGAGGCTGTAAATGATGTCTCCCTTGATGGAGACACTGATGCCCTGCTACTGTAAACATGTGTCCGCTGCCCAAGTGGAGGTGACTCTGGTGGAGATTTCTCTAGGTATTGTTCCAGCTCTGCAATATACTTTTGGATTGCATCCCTTCCTGGAATATTATGTTGTTCTCTTGTATGATCAGCATCTAATCGTTGATGTCTGTCTTCACTGCTACATATTACTGATTTATCTTCAGCCTACAAGAATAGAGAATATATAAAATACAGGAAAGCTGTTAATTAAATTGAAGATGGCAGAATAATAATTCAATGTAGTTATTTTAAAATGAAACTGATGAGAAATTTGGTTTCTTTTTATTCCTAGCTTTGTCATGTTACTTCATCATAAATAACTATGTCAGCTAAAGATAAGATGTAAGCAAAGAAAAAGCAATCAAGTATAATTTTCAGATAAATAGGCAATACTTTACTTAGTGAAGAAAATGTGTATTTTTTCACGATTCACATTCTGTTCAACCTTTCCAAATTATACTTTGGATACAAAGTGCTAATTATTAATTCTGGCCCTACCCCCTTCCATTTTTTTTTTCACTGACCTATGTTCAAACCTTTTCTGCTCTTCACTGAGACTTGAGAAACTGCTTGAGAAAATGGTTTATCTTTCACATTTTCTGTGGATACTGTTCAGTATTTTCAATAAATTCATTAAATATTTTATAACTTAAATTTGTACACTATGATTGTTTATTGTTTCCCTGATTTGTTCTCATTTTATACAACTGAATCCACATATGCCTGAACAGCTGTAGCCATTTATTCTTGCCTCAGTTTAGTGGTGTCAGGATTATCAGTCACTAATTACAACAAATTAAAAACAAAATTAATTTGTTTTCTGTCTATATCTTTTCAGAGATCCAAGAGATCATCTGCTGTCTCTGAAATAATACAGACAGCTGAGGCAGGAGTATGATCAATTTCACATATTTTCACATCTTAAGTGTTGGAGACTACTGGTCTATTTTCTAGAGAGAAAGGGGAAACAAATCACAATGTCTAACCTCTGTAACTGACATGTGTCCAACCTGCAGCTTCACTGTGGCAAAGCGCGCCTGTACTGTCTTGTACAATGATTTGAATGTATTCAATTCCCTCTGAACCCTCAGTGCTTCCTGACTATCTGCCTTTTGCATTAAATGTACACCGGCCTGGTCTAGATAGGTGATGCGTAACAGCTTATTTTGAATTTCTGCATCAAGACGCTGTGTAAAATCATGTCATGAAATTATTATTTATAGGTAAAAATATGTTTAAAGTTTTTAAAGAAGACTACAAACAAATAAAAAAAAAAAAAAAGAAATAAAAACAAACTGGGTCATGACAAGGTCATCTAACTGTTAACTGTATTTAAAAAGTTTTAAAAAAAAATCCAAACAATAATGAATAGCCAAAAGTCTTCAGCAGACAAGTATACATTTTCATACTCTAAAGAAAAAACTATATCCCCCAATTATATAACATAATAGTTCAACATAATCATTATGGTGCAATTACCAATACTATTTAGCAATAGAAGGCCTGAAAAGATTACAGATTATGATACGCACACATATTCTACATATTATTTTTTGTAACACTTACCATGGGCACCAAGACTGCATTTTGAATTTGTACAGTGGCAAATATGGATGTCAACATTGTCAGTATTATTTCATCCTGAGGTTTTCTAAAGTGATCTTGCATTATATCTTAATACAACATCAGATCTAACCTATCGGCACTTTTTAAATTTTTATTGCTGGGCATAATCCAAATCCCCACCAAGCCTTCATATGGTCACCAGAGGGTAAAAGAAAACAGGGAAGACCAAAAGAAACTCTCCGTAGAACCATCACAAGGGAGAGCTCAACCATAGGTCTCAGTCGCACTCAAGACCTACATCAAGTGGCAACGAACCGACAGACGTGGAAAGCTATGACCTCTGCCCTATGCGCCATCTTTGGCACAAGAGGAATAACTAACTAACTAATAATCCAAATCACCATAGAAAACCAGTAGTAAAGAAAACAAAACATGTCTAATAAACTGTGGAACCATAGTATTGTCTGATGTAAACTCTAGCAGAAAGTTCTGGATGTTCATCCACTTCTGAATTTTAATGTTGTTCCAGACCTTGAGTTTTGCATGCACATACATTTTATAGATCTGGCTTATCTGTATGCAGACTGTTGGTTCCGCAGCTCTCAGGCAGAGATGCACTATTACTTTGAAGAAAACATTGGAGCATTGTATATATTCTTTCACACAGAGAATATGGCAAGTATGAAATGCATTAGCTATGTAGGGTTAAATGAGAATTCTGAGCTAAAGATCTTGAAGTTGACTAGTACACCAGGTCAACTTGTATGCAACAATTTACTGTAATTACATAACAGGATAAGAGATGTCAGAGAGGCAATTTATCTTGTCTGATGGTTCCCTGATTATATGTATCCAGACTGCTAGCTTACGCTTTCCTTCTCTAAGATACTCAGACAGCCTTTTTGTTGTTGTTGTTGTTGCTGACACAGTCTGTACTATATGTCTGGTACTGGTTCATGCTGCATTGCTGTCTTGAGTTGAGTTGGCATCTCTCCATCTTATTATTTGACTGTGTTATATTATGCTATATAGAGGCATGCTAATCATAGACCATGATGATGAGTATTGCTCACATGACCCTCTCCAAAACACAACACCAGGATAGTATTAGAGAGACCCTGTGCTGCCCATTATCCCTCTTCCGGCCAGCCTTGTTTACTCCAAAGTAGTGCTTGTCTTAAATGGTATTATGCTAACATTTTTTAATAAGCACTTCTTAAGCTTTAGCTGAATTAAACTGTTATACATAAAAGAAGGAAAAGGTATAAACAATGCCATATACATCCTAAGGACATTGTCAGAAAGAGCTATAGAAGTAAAGACTGATTTGTACATATGCTTCATAGACTATACAAAAAGCATTTGACTGTGTGAAGCATGAAGAAGTAATCAGACTGTTAGAAAAATTAAACATTGATGGGAAAGATCTACGAATAATAAAGAATATGTAGCAAACAACAGCTATAAGAATTAACAACTGTTTAGGTACATTTCAAAGCATAAAGAGGGGCGTACGACAAGGATGTGTACTGTCACCTGATTTGTTTTCAACATACAGTGAATATATAATGAGAGCTTTAATTGGTATGCCGGGAATTGTGGTTGGTGGGCACAATATAAACAATTTACGTTATGCCGATGACAGTCTTGATAGCAATAAGTCAGAAAGAACTACAGGAAATGATAGACATCGTGGTGTTAGAAAGTGAAAGAATGGGCCTCAGTTTGAATAATGGGAAGACAGAAGTAATGGTATCAAAGAAACAAATTATTCCTAAGTGTGTAATAAAAGTTTATGGTGTTTTTTAGGACAAGTACAGAAATTTAAGTATCTGGGTACATGGATAACATCAGATGGAAGATGCATAACTGAGATAAGAAACAGAATAGGACAAGCAAAAACTGCATTTTATAAAATGAAAACCATCTTGTGCAATATATCCTTGTCATTGAGAGTTAGAAAAAGAATTCTTGCTTGCTACATACGTCCAGTTTTTAACATATGGCTGTGAATCCTGGACAATTGGTAGGCAGGTCAAACAATTTCTGGAGGCCTCGGAGATGTGGTTACACAGAAGAATGCTTAGAATACCTTGGTCAGCCAAAAAGAGCAGCCAAGAGGTTTTGAAAGAGGCGGGAGCCCGAAGACAACTTATCACAGATATCAGAAGGAGACAGTCATCATTTTTTGGCCATGTTATGAGAAGAGGGAAAATAGAACATGTTGTGACCACTGGAAAGATATGTGGAAGGAGAGATAGAGGAAGACAACGAGAGAAGATGCTTGACAGTCTTGTTGCATGGCATGGAGGTGTGTCGGCACACGAACTGATACATGCTGCAGGAGATCGCAGATTATGGAGAGGCATGATTGCCCACGCCAGTTGGCAAGGCACCTGATGATAATGATGATACATAAAAAGTTTAAAATTCACAAGTTTATTGCTGATCATGATAACAGATGATAAGAAATGATTTTTTAGATTGAGGAAAATTATGTACACACAAATGAAAGAAAGCAAGATGTACATACTCGGATAAGAGCAATTCTATCCTCCAGGTCAAATGCAGGGGTATTCTGTAATCTTGTGAGCTGCTCACTGAATTCAGTTAACCATTTTAAAAGGGAGGTCAGTGTTGCCTCAAAATCCTCTTTTATGATTGATGAACTACAGAGTTTCTTCATAATCTTTGAAATAAATATTAATATTATATTACATAAATATCTGTGTTATGATACAAGTTACTTATGCTATTGTTACTTATAACTAAAGATAATTTAACTGTAATCAGTTAATTTTCAGCTTGTGAAGTAATACAACAGAATCAAATATGGGTAGGGAAAAAAGGAATAGAAAACCAACAGAGAACTGGTGTTACCAGTTGCCAAATGCTGAGAGATATACTGAAGATGGGATTGAGTGCTTATGGACTTGTCCAGTGTGGGTAATCGGTTGATTAACTATATCACTAAAACAAAGTTTGTTATGCTGCTTTAAACTACCCAGCTCTGAACTACTAGAAGAAAAGACTCAAGGTAACAATAAAAGAAACAAGAAAAACTTTCTGGAGAAATTATAAATAAGTAAAGTAATGGAAGATGACAAATAAATATGCCAGTAAATGGCTTGATTTTATTAGATGCAGACATATAATGAGCAATAAAGATAATTTATAACTGTAAAAAGATAATAGTCACACCACTTATAACTGTAGAAGTATAGTAACAACTCTTATAATTGTAGAAGTATAGTAACACCACTTATAATTGTAGAAGTATAGTAACACCACTTATAATTGTAGAAGTATAGTAACAACACTTATAATTGTAGAAGTGCAGTAACACCACTTATAATTGTAGAAGTGCAGTAACACCACTTATAATTGTAGAAGTATAGTAACAACACTTATAATTGTAGAAGTGCAGTAACACCACTTATAATTGTAGAAGTGCAGTAACACCACTTATAATTGTAGAAGTGCAGTAACACCGCTTATAACTGTAGAAGTATAGTAACACCACTTATAATTGTATAATTGTAGAAGTGCAGTAACACCACTTATAATTGTAGAAGTGCAGTAACACCACTTATAATTGTAGAAGTATAGTAACACCACTTATAATTGTAGAAGTATAGTAACAACACTTATAATTGTAGGAGTGCAGTAACACCACTTATAATTGTAGAAGTGCAGTAACACCACTTATAATTGTAGAAGTGCAGTAACACCACTTATTATTGTAGAAGTGCAGTAACACCACTTATAATTGTAGAAGTGCAATAACACCACTTATAATTGTAGAAGTGCAGTAACACCACTTATAATTGTAGAAGTATAGTAACACCACTTATAATTGTAGAAGTGCAGTAACGCTACTTATAATTGTAGAAGTGCAGTAACACCACTTATAATTGTAGAAGTGCAGTAACACCACTTATAATTGTAGAAGTGCAGTAACACCACTTATAATTGTAGAAGTGCAGTAACACCACTTATAATTGTAGAAGTGCAGTAACACCAATTACAATTGTAGAAGTGCAGTAACACCACTTATAATTGTAGAAGTGCAGTAACACCACTTATAATTGTAGAAGTGCAGTAACACCACTTATAATTGTAGAAGTGCAGTAACACCACTTATAATTGTAGAAGTATAGTAACACCACTTATAATTGTAGAAGTATAGTAACACCACTTATAATTGTAGAAGTATAGTAACACCACTTATAATTGTAGAAGTGCAGTAACACCACTTATAATTGTAGAAGTGCAGTAACACCACTTATAATTGTAGAAGTGCAGTAACACCACTTAAAATTGTAGAAGTGCAGTAACACCACTTATAATTGTAGAAGTGCAGTAACACCACTTATAATTGTAGAAGTGCAGTAACACCACTTATAATTGTAGAAGTATAGTAACACCACTAATAACTGTAGAAGTGCAGTAACACCACTTATAATCTTAGACTATTTTGTTATACAACAGCATTTATAATTGTAGATTATAATAAACTAAGAGGAACAGTGAATTCCCAACAGAATAGTTAAATGTATACAGTCGACATTGGTGAGTTATTTCAAAAATCACCTCAAATAAGATTTAACAAATGTGAAAATTGGAAATCGAAAGAGAATTTGACCATCTAAATGATGGTCTAAGTGAGTACCTGGCAGCCCCTACACATGAAGCACCCAGAGAGACACTCTCCTGCTGCTTATACTTCACCCTGAAACCACAAGGTGCAAGTGAGAGGATGATGAGATGAGATGCAATGAAATCTCAAAGACGGCAGACATAGAAAATACTTACCTCAGTTACTTTATGTTGAAGAGCATCCCATCTCTCATTTAGCTCTGTCATCCTGTACTTCCGGGCATCATCTGAGTCCGTGCAACCTTTGACCAGCTGGCAGTAGATGCGGTTTATATGTTCAAGATCACTCAAGTGGTCATGAATATCACATTGGAGATCCTGTGAAGTCAAGTATTACATAAGACTGTTATATGTTCTGCAATACTCCTAAATTAGTACACTTTATTCAGAATGTTAGAATATTTGTCTGTTTCTATCCAAGAAAGCATTATCCAATCTGATGCCCGGATAACTGGGAGTATTTCATCCCTTTATTTTTTTTGTACATATTACCAATATCAATAGGTACAGTGAATGAGTACAAAACTACCATGCATAAATTCTTTACCATGAAATGGTTTTGATATGAAAACTGTAAACACTCATGAATGAAAGTGTATGAATCAATGGTACCTATACGGTAACATAGCTTTTAAAAATACTCACATCTTATGGATTATTTTATAAGTATTTATCTTCTTCTTCTTCTACACGTTCACTGATTGTAAACTGCGGCTGAAGGTTCTGGTTGTTCATCCACTTCTGGACTCTAGCCCTGTTTCAGAAACTGAGCATTGCGTGCACATCCGTGTCACAGATCTGACTTATCTGTATGCAGACCGTTGGTTCATTGCCGCTCAGACAGGTGTCGACTCTTACGACATGCTTTTGGTTAGGCAGGGGGTCTATTCTTCTTCTTCTTCTGCCTTTTTATCCCCCAATGGAGCATAGGCCCTCAACCAACTCACGCCAAGTCGTTCTATCCTTCGCCATTACATGGAGCTCTCCCCATGTCCTCCCAATCTTTCTAACCTCATTCTCCAGCTCTCTTCTCCATGTGTTTTTTGGCCTTCCTTTATTCCTATGCCCCTGTGGGTTCCAATGCAAAGACATTCTAGTTATGTTGTTCTCCTGTTTTCTCAGTGTGTGCCCTATCCAACGCCAGCGTCTTTTCCTCACCTCCTGATCCACTGGAGCCTGTTTAGTTCTCTCCCAAAGTTCTACATTAGTTATTCTATCATACCATTTTATTCCCTCTATTCTGCGCAGGCACCAGTTAATGAATGTCTGTAATTTATTAGTAATTGCCTTCGTTGTTCTCCATGTTTCCGCCCCATACAATAGTACTGATTTGACATTAGAATTAAAAATTTGTAGTTTAGTATTTCTTTTAATTTCTTTTGACCTCCACAAATTCCCTAGTGCTATGAAAGCCCCTCTTGCCTTTTGTATTCTTATTTTAATATCTCTATCAGTTCCTCCATCTTTATCTACATTACTGCCCAAATAGGTGTACGACTCCACGTCTTGGACTGGGGTGCCATCAAGAGAAACCACATTACTATTTGCCTGATTTATTCTCATTATCTTTGTCTCTCCTTTATGGATTTTCAGACCAAGCTGCTGTGATCTCGCATTAAGTATATTTAATTTATCTTGTATCTGATTCCGTGAATGGAACAGAAGAGCATTATCATCAGCGAAGTCCAGATCATCAAGCTGTTTTGTAGGGGTCCACTGAATTCCATTCTTGATCTCGCATTAAGTATATTTAATTTATCTTGCATCTGATTCTGTGAATGGGACAGAAGAGCAATATCATCAGCGAAGTCCAGATCATCAAGCTGTTTTGTAGGGGTCCACTGAATTCCATTCTTGGTGTTAGCAGTTACTGTTTTCATAGTCCAGTCTATAGCCAGTAAAAATAAGAGAGGCGACAAAAGACATCCCTGTCACACACCTGTTTTTATTTCAAATGCATCTGTTAGCTTTCCCTCATGAAGAACTCGACATTTCATGTCTTTATATGCTGCCTTTACTAAGTTGATAATTTTCTGTGGGATTCCATAGTGCCCCATCAATTTCCAGAGAGATTCCCTATCAATGCTGTCAAATGCTTTTTTATAGTCCAATGTAAAGTGGTGAGTTCAGTTCAATGCTTTGCTCTATTATAATACGTAATGTGGCTATCTGATCAGTACAGGATCTGTTTGACCGAAAACCTGCCTGCTCATCTCTTAGCATTTTATCAATAGCATCTTTTAATCTTTCCAAAATAATTCTACTTAATATTTTTCCAGGAACTGACAGCAACATAATTCCTCTATAGTTTTCACACTCCTGTAGATCACCTTTTTTGGGCAGTTTCACAAGATATCCTTCTCTCCAGTCTGCTGGTATTTCTTCGGTCTCCCAGACTTTACTGAAAAATCTATGTAGCAATTCTGTTGATGTGTTTATGTTGGTCCTGATGGCTTCAGCTGGGATACCATCTGGGCCTGACGCCTTTCCTTCCTTAAGAAGATTTATAGCTTTTCTTATTTCCTCTTTGAATGGTATCTCACAGTTGATATCCAGTTCCATTTCTAAAGGCTGGATATCTGGGGGAACCTCTGGGCCTGGTCTATTTAGAAGTATTTCAAAATATTCAACCCATCTGTCCATTTGATCTTTAGTGTTAGTAAGTACTTTTCCTTGACTATTTTTGATTGATCCAGTGTGGCTGACTATATTTACCTACTAATTTTCTTGTGTTACTGTAAAGTTCTCTAAGGTTTCCTTTTGCTGCTGCTGTCTCCGCTTCTTGTGCTAGATCATTTAGATATTTCACTTTATCTGTGTGGTCAATTTGATTAGTTGTCTTATGGTCTGGTGATTCCCATGTTGCCTTGTGTATTCTTTTATGGGGAAAAATACTTCCACCAATAACATACTGGGTCTATTCTTACTTTCCCCATAATGAGGCCCCGGAATCCACATGGGGAATAATTATTTATGAATGTACATATTTATTATTTTCTACTTTCAATATTTCTTCCACTTTTAAAATACACACATTTTACTTTTATGAAAACTAACATAATGTGGGAAGCTAAATATCACAATAGAAAAGAAAGTTTATGGGAGATCTAATAAAAAATGAAATTATGGAAACAACTTCAAGAGTAGATAAAGTAAAGTGTGGGAAAAGGTGTAGAGTGGACGGAAACAGAAGGGGGACAGTACTTGTTACAGCTCTGTGTTCAATGGGGATAAAAAGGAAAGATAGTAATGACAACAATTTTTTAAAACTCATCCAGTAAGAAATGATAGCATCAGATAGTAAATAGGCACAATGTCATAAATGATGCAACATCAAAATTTCAAATGGTTTGGTCACATAAAAAGGTACCATTAAGCATCATATCAGAGGCTACTACATAACATTCTATATAGTGTTATAAAAGCCTACTCTAAAACATTACATTCACCTAATGCTGAAAGGTAGAACAGACACAGGAGACAGTATACACATCTTTATGATACAAATGAAGCACATATATTCAAATAAATAACTCATCAAATATTTATCTGTGATAACTAATTAATAAAGTTTGTAGTATGTACCTCATATTTGTGAATGTACTCCTTTGCTGCCTTCACAGTGGTGACTTCAATCTCAAAGTCTCCAACTTCCTGTTCCACCTGAGATATCCACTGAGAGAATTTGTCACAATCCTCTCTAAACTTTTCCCACAGCTGCCAGGTTTCTTTAACTCTTCAATCACAAAAACGGAATGTAAAAATTTAAAGTTCACAAGATTTACTTTAGTTATAGCTTTTGAAAAGTTAGTCTTCATTACAGCTGTGCGTCTGGAAAATAAATAAACTGATAACCAAAAAAGAATGTAAATACTATTAGCTAAAATACTGATAGACATGACAAGGCTACACTAATATGGGGAGATACAGCTGATATAGTATAGGAATATTCATCACCAAGAATTTGCATATGAAAAGTGGACTCACAAAAGCATTTTTTCATCAATAAACAGAGTTAACAACGTAAATTTTCTTTTAAAAAATATGAAAGAAAAGAAAAATATTTCGCAGTACTCATAATTACCTTGTCTTTCTCTGTGGTGAGACCAGGCATATTGTTTGCCAGCGTTTCTCTAAATTTTTCATGGAATGTTCAAGTGCCAACAACTCAGTTTCTGTTGGACATGCATCCGAATCATTCAGTAATGCTCTACACAAGTTCAACAGAGCAGATACACTTTCAGCATGGCTTTCAATATCTTGTTGCAATTCCTGTGAACATACAAAACCATTTTTAAAATGTGACCTTTTCTAATTTATAAATATAGAATAAATCGTGTTTCAGTAATCAGACCTTATATATATATATACATATTCTTTTAACAGAACAGACTAATAATGTAGTCAATTATAGGTTAATAATATAGACATAGTCAATTATATTTTTTCTAAATAACTGGATAATAAACAAACATGGAGCATAATCTCAGCGTACCATACTGTCTTGAAGTTTTGCTTCCATTTCTCTGAGATCATTGCTGTTGAAAATAATGTCCTCACTCAGCACATTCTCCACGGCTGACAACCACTGACTAAGTTTACTCATGCTGATGTCGAGCTGTTTTAAGTCTTGTGTTGTTTGTCTCAGTTTGCGATATCTGCAGAAAGAAATAACAAGCAAGTAATCAACAGATTTAGACTTGCTGATACTGTTGATGTAACAAGCCTAGAACTAAACAACAGTTAAGCGACAGTAACATTTCTCATTTCTCCCTATTAGAAAGTCAGTACCAGAATATTTCAAATGCTCCAAAATTGCCAACTGTCTTTAGGAGCCAATTCTGAACTAACTCTATAAATGGTATGCACAAAATGCAGCAAGGTTCATAACTACGTAGCCTTGTAAACTGTGGCAATAACTCAACATGATAGAGCTGTCAGTTTACTCAGAATGATAAATTATCTAAGAGCAGTGGCAAATAGCATGATCATTTGTAATGTTCTGGCTTAGATTTAAATACTTCATACCCTGTTCTGTCAATATCAGCTTGATAGTAAATGATAACATACACTAGACTATATTATAGTCCCAGGTAAACAAAATAAAAACAAAAAAACCCAGGCAACAGAGAGACAAATAGCTGCTTAACACAAAAGAGTTGAATAGAAAATGACCACGAGGCAGACCAAGGAGATGATGACAGGGATAAATTCCAAGCAGACTTACAAACACTTTGAGTCACCAACTAAAAATAAAAGGCGAATAATAGAGATGATGGAAGTCTGTGATATCTGCAGCAATGAACTTAGGGTGTCAGAATGCTGAACAAGAGGAAGAATAACAAAAAACATAACATGCAACACTTTTCATTAGCATTAAAGTATTTTCTTCTTCAAATGTTTTCATTTTCTGTGAATCAAGAAACATTTAGCAAAACTCTTTCCATGATGTTTATGCACCAAACTTACCAATGTAATATATTCTCTAATGTGTAACATATCTCCGCCATTGCCAGAGATATATAATCAGCAATGTCAAAGACATTTTGTAAAATAATTCTTAATAGAATTTATTAGGAAACAGACAAAATCCTAAAGGAGGAACAATCAAGTTTTTGACCTGGAAGAAATTGTTTAAATCAAATATTTACTCTGCAACTTATTTTTGAGGAATTTATTAAAAAATAACAACCCCCTTTTTTAAAATTTCATTGACGTTAAGAAGGCTTTTGATAGTTCACACAGAACACCACTATTGGGGAATTTTAGAATGCTATAGTATACCAATAAAAATAATAAATATTATAAAAGCAAAATGTATGAAGGTTTAGAGTTTGCAGTGCGAACAGATGATTGTCAAAATGACTAGTTTGAAATTGATACTGGAGTGAAACAATGAATTTCATCTCCTCTGTTATTTGGCATAACCACTGACTGGTGATGACACAATGTTGTGTTGGAAACACTGGTATTGACTGGTGATGACACAATGTTGTGTTGGAAACACTGGTATTGACTGGGTGATGACACAATGTTGTGTTGGAAACACTGGTATTGACTGGTGATGACACAATGTTGTGTTGGAAACACTGGCATTGACTGGGTGATGACACAATGTTGTGTTGGAAACACTGGTATTGACTGGGTGATGACACAATGTTGTGTTGGAAACACTGGTATTGACAACAATGTTGTGTTGGAAACACTGGTATTGACTGGGTGATGACACAATGTTGTGTTGGAAACACTGGCATTGACTGGGTGATGACACAATGTTGTGTTGGAAACACTGGCATTGACTGGGTGATGACACAATTGAAACACTGGCATTGACTGGGTGATGACACAATGTTTGACTGGGTGATGACACAATATTGTGTTGGAAACACTGGTATTGACTAGGTGATGACACAATGTTGTGTTGGAAACACCGGCATTGACTGGGTGATGACACAATGTTGTGTTGGAAACACTGGTATTGACTGGGTGATGACACAATGTTGTGTTGGGAACACTGGTATTGACTGGGTGGAGAACACACAGTTGGAAGATCTCAATTTTGCTGATGATGTTGTTCTGCTAAGTAAAAACAGCTATGACATGCAAAGGAAAACAGACAATTTAGCAAATATAGCATTAAAGGTTGGACTACAAATAAGTTATGAAAAGACAAAAATACTGAAATAACAGAAATGTCTGGGCAGCCATTAGCATCAACAGTTTTAAGACAGAAGATGGCGCTACACTGGACACATCCTGAGAAGAAACCAGCAGAGAATCATCAAACAGACATTAAAATGGGAAATAAAGAGGCAAGGATGCACAATAAAAATCCTAAGATGAACTTTGATGAGAGAGGCTAAAGCTGCTGAGCCAGATTTCAACCATGATATTGAAATGATTGCACAGAATAGAGCATAATGGAGGAATAGGCTGCGATTCCTATGTGACATGCGATGGCACAACAGGATAGTGAATGAATGAATGAATGTATGAATGTGCAACATGATTTGACTACAATATTTATTCAGCTATTTCACGTCCATGAGTGATACAATGAAACATATTAGGGTCTTATTATCCATGGAACTGAACATTGACTTACCTAATAGTCTAAGATTATTCAAAATTACACAGTGTTTAATATTTGTTTTTTATTTTGTCCCTTATGGTCCTTTTACTCACTTCATATCATTATCATCATCATCAATATCAACATCATTATCAAAAACAATATAAATAAAAATGAATCACCTGGTATCCATAACTCTCTTTAGGTGTTGCCATTTGTCTTCCAGCCGAAGGAGTTTCTGTTCAATTTCAGAGGCCTTAATATCATCACAGACTTTCATAAGCTGCCTTCCTTGTTCATGAATAATTGCTTTCTGAACTTCTTTGTTTTCTGCTTCTTGTTTATACTCCTAAATAAAAAAAGTTACATATTAAGTTTTATACTTACAATATGTTTATTATTATGTAGAAGAAGAAAGTCAGGCATTCATTTTCACTACCGCTGGCAGGATGATGGAGATAGCACCTGTCATAAAGGCGCTTACATTACTGGTGGAATAGAAAGACACTTACGTACTGATTGTGACAGACTCAATGAGCACACTCATGAAGATTAAAAATGATGAACAACAAGAAGAATGGATTGACAACATTAGGAAATCCTGCTCAAGAAACTGTCCCAGCTGTACACACCAGAACATGCATGGGTAAAAGAAAAATGCATCAAGAATGGCTGTTTCTGTAGAATTTTGTGGAGAAAGAAGAATGGACAGGGCAGACATACTGAATAGACTGTGTTGCAGAGATGTTGAGACATGGTGTCAGAAATGTTGAAAATGGGTATTGAACAAAAGCAAGCACACAGAAACCAACTGGGAGGCAAAGAAAGAAGATATGCCAGTAAAATCCTACTGGCTGCGGTGAACACCGAGATGGCTGCTGTACTGGAGGATAAAGCACATATGGGTTGAAACGATTTGCAGGGTGTCAATATAGACAACAAAAAACAAATAACTGTTTCCTTTCTATTAAATATACCTGTAATTTCATAAAAATTAAAAAGAAATGAACATGCTGTATTCTTACTGGATTTTGTAGTCTAACAGAGACTACTATTCAGCAGGTGTTACAAGTCATAGTAAGTATATGTGTTTACTGTATAAAATATACTTCATACATATTGACAGATCAACATGACTTACAGTTTCCAGTCTGGCCAACAAGTCTTCAATAGATATGTCTTTATTTGATATTTTGACTGTCATCTCTTCAATCCAGTCCATCAATGACTTCAAATGTTTATTCAAATCTGTCCATCTGAAAAAGAAACATTAAAAAATTCCTAATATTAAGGGCTATACACAAAATTCATTTTCTTTTTTACTGATTCCAGTTACTTTTCAAAGTGTGTGAGAGTGTATTTGTGTATGTGGGAGGGGGAAGGGGAGGGTGGGGGGGGGGGGGGGGGGGGGGGGGTCAATAACTTTTCTTATGTGTTCTCTTTCCAATGCATTGTATGTAAGTTGGTTTTAATTTCTCTAAAGTTGTTATTGATGTCATCTTTCTATATTCTATGTGGTCTTCCCTTAATCTGTCCATTATACGAGGAGTTTCGAATGAAAATCTTAAAATTTTGATAGAAATGACAAAAATTACATTAACCATATCATTGTCTTGTAACTAAAAACATTGTTGTTAAGGATGTCAAGAGTGTTAAGCAAATGACCATATTATGTCATGGTGCATACAAACACAAGTGCGGTTAAAATGGACGCTAGACAGCGGCGCTGTTCGGAGCGGAGGAAAATTTTTTGCTTCTGCCGGACGGTGGCCGAAGTATTTTTGCTCCATTTGTAGACTGGATATAGTTTCGTCACCCAGCTTCTGAGTTGAATGCATGGCGTGACCCTGTGAGCTGCGGATTGCATTTGGAATGTTTTTTCGACTGTGACCAACGTGGTGTGAATTGTAGATTCAGAAAATGGCGCGATGCCGGTCGTGCAATGTAGCAATGCTGGCGGGACCCGTATTAAAATTGATCGCGCTGGCAACTGCTGATCTGTTGGCGACAAGTTCTGCTATCATCAATGATGAACTACATTTCTAATGTTGGATTGTGTTGTGTTAGCACTTCGGATGGCTATCCATATGCGTTAAAGCGAATGAGTGTATGCTAGTATGCTTTTGACAGCAGTCTGTCAATCTTTCCACAAGGGACTGTGATAAACATTCTGGGTGTTTTTCGCTGGCACATTTAGCGCCTCAAAGATGGGGCGACCCGTTTGCTATGAAGCTGAAACTAAGACTACCAGACTACCAGACAAACACAGTGATATAATAATGACAGTTTAAATAATGTTTTTACAATGCTTTGGAAATTTCAAGGAGCATTTCCAGAGGAAACTGGAGAAAGTGTATGCTGCATCAACATTGTGAATGTGATGATCTAGAACATAATTCAAACAAAACCCCAAATCCTCACGACAATGCCACAAAACATAGATAAACTAATCTGGGAGAAAACTGTACAACTAGGAAGGACAATTCTTCCATAATCACAATTGTTAATTAGCCGAAGTGTCTGTAGAGAGTATGATTATCTAATATGCTTTTAAAGAGAATGATTATCTAGTGTGCTTTTGGTTCTATTTACGTTTTCCCGCCCAGGATAAGAGTGACTTTCCTTGCCATTTATGCCTCGTCAGGTCTCAGGACCTCTCCTATGTTGCAGGGGTGGCATGTTTTCCTTACTGTCAGTGGCTGAACTGTTCCTTCTGTTATCGTCTTCTCATCGTTTACTTGCGCGATTATTTTAATGTATTTTCACGTTCTGTTACCTGCGTAATGGTTTGAAGGTATGAAAACAGCGATATTTTTCTATTCTTACATTCCTTGTAATTTCTTTCTTTCTCTCGGAGGTAAGTCACCGCAAATGAACATAGAAATACAAAAACATCCCAGTTTTGATACTCTAAAATTGTTGCGCCTGCGGTACTTCCCCCTGCAGTACATCCCCTTGCAGGACTTCTTTCTTGTTTACTGGCGCCTGCAGTGCCTGAAACAGACTCATAACAACACAACCTCCCACAAACATTGTATATGCCAAGCAAACACCAAACCAAGCCATATTATTACACGCCGCAACATAGGAGAGGTCCTGAGACCTGAAGAGGCATGATTGGCAAAGAAAGTCAATCTCATCTTGGGGCGGAAAGCGTAAATAGGACCAAAAGCATATTAGATAACCATTTTCTGTAAAAGCATATTAGATAATCATACTCTCTACAGACATGTGTATACCTATATGTTTTAATATACATATTCTTAACAATACCACATACTTACACATCTGCACATATTTCTTTGCTGAAAGTAAGTTACATGCCATAATCTTTTCTATTTGCTGCATACACCTTCTCTCTCTCAGACGCTCTTTTTTTTATGACAGAAGACAATACTAGCCTGTAGAGAGTATCTGTTATCTTTTCTTCTCTGACTTGCGTCTGGTGCTGTAGTTCCTCTTTCTGCTTGGTCAACAACTGTATTCTCTGCTGAAGAAGATTCATGTCCTCTTCTTGTATAATACTGTCTAGATACTTCTTCTTAGTCAGCAAACTCTGTTCCTTATTTTCCAGTTCAATGAATGCTTTCTCAATATCCTGCAATATAAACAAAGTAAATCGTTAACATAGCGGCGTCTGTGGCTAAGGCGTTGTGAGTCCGACTCGTAAGCCAGCATACCGCGATCGAAACCCACTGCAGGCTGCGTGGATTTTTGTCGTGGTATGGGACGTCGCAGGTCGACCCAGCCTAAAATGGGTACCAGGATGGGCTGTCCTGGAAAAGTAAAGACAGCCGGCATAATGCTGATCACATTACCCACAGAGTGCTGATGGTCTGTAAAAATATGGGACGCTCTGCCCATATGCCCGATGCGCCGAAAGGCGTGAAAAGGGAACTTTACTTTTTTTTTTTTTTACTTAAATCGTTAACATAATAATGTACAGGACCAACAATAAAGCAAATCTACTTTATTTCTGAGTAAATTATTTTTAGATTGCTCTTTATTATGTATTATGTCCCACAGCCAATGCCCAAAAAGAACAACTCATTTAAATGGTAAAATTTAGCAAAATCAGAGTGATAATTAGAGGTTTAAAAAAAGTAACACAACCTTAACAAGCCAAATAAATAGCTAGTATGCTGACAGTCAGAGAAGTAAAAAACTAAAATTTGTTCACAAAAATATAAGATACTAGAATAAAAGCTAATTTAATGTTTACCTGGCATCTGTTTATCTCCAGCTGGAGCCCGTCATATGTTGTGGGGATATCAGCATTCAAAATTCTGCGGATCTCTGTCAGTTGACACAACATGTCATCAATTTCAGTTTCAGAGTGTAACCATTGCTGATCAATGACTTCAAGCTGAAGTCTGCGTTTCTCTAGAGCAGTCAGCACACTGTGCCTGCTCTGCTGAATGTCTGACAATGTTGCCTGCAGAGAGGAAGATTTGCATGAATTTCTACAACATATTTTTTGTTACATGTGGACATTGATATCATCCACATCTGTCAGAGTGAGCAACATAGAAGAGAGGTTTCAGTTGTGAAACATTTGACACACTTAGGCAGGGTTATTCAAGTGAGTTTACTCAGGAACTACATTTTAAAAATGGGGATCATTATGGGCCTAAGGTCTGAGCACCAGAGGAGAAAGATCATTAATACAATACAGCTAGAAATGACCACGTGTCACTTCCTAGGTCTCTGTGGGCCACCAGTTGAATATACTACATTAAGGTATCTTTTTCTGTAGGGAATCTCTGTGGCAAAAGAGGTTAAGCTGTTTGCATCATGCTCTGAAAGTTATGAGCTTGAACTCAGATTTTTAAGCTGTTTGCTTCATGCTCTGAAAGTTATGAGCTTGATCTCAGAGTCTATTATTATGTTCACAAGTGTGGGTGTCTTGGAGATCCTTGGACGTCATCGCTGAAGCTAAAGCGTTCATATTTTATGTGGTTACAAACAAAAGGTATTTTATGTGTACAGAAATTTAGGTAACAATGAGTATTATTTATTGAAGGATGTTCTTACTATGTCATGCACTAGACTGCAGTTCTATTGTGTCAAAAGCAACAGAATTTGAGCCACTGATAGTGTGATATAATAGTGTGATATAATAGTGTGATATAATAGTGTGATATAATAGTGTGATATAATAGTGTGATATAATAGTGTGATATAATAGTGTGATATAATAGTGTGATATAATAGTGTGATATAATAGTGTGATATAATAATTTAAGATTTACCAACGGGTTAAACAATGACAGATACTAAATGAGCTATAAATTATGCATATTGTAAACAGTAGTCTGATAACAATGTAAGTCTAACTGGTAACAGCTTTGAAAAAAAAAAACAATTTAACAATTTATAAATGTGAAACATGTTTAAGAAGCAATTCATATGCTTGTTCACAAATCTTAGTTTAGTTAAGTGCAGATTATAACTGTTGCACTGCAGACTTTGGAGCAACGACAGTGTAGTAGTTGGAAGCTCACCTGCTAGACAAAAGGTCTTTGATTTGATTCTGACTGGGCAGATGTTTTTTCCCAACCCATTTTGGCTCAAAAATTGACCTAGATTAAAACAGGTACCAGGTAGTTTCCTGGAAAGTAAAAGTGGCTAGCAGGATAGTAATCTCTTCACCCCTGAGTGTTGACTGGTCTATAAAAATATAGAACTAGCTTTACATGTCTGTCAGCATATGGAACTTAGGTGTTGTGAACGTGCTTCCTATTTCTAGGGTGCTGGGCTCGATCTAAGTTGTGGACACTTAAGCAGCAGATTGCCTTGCATTCATTTCAACAGTAGTATCAAGAGTCAATCATTCAGAACTATATAGCAAACTAGTGAATGTAAAATTGCTTAGTAAAACCACCAACAGTAAAAAAATGCTTTGAAGGATTCTTCTTCTTCTCTTCTTCTTCACTTCCTCTTTTACCGCTGTGGGTGTCGAGGGAGATATAAGGTTCTGTTTCTAGCTCTTCTGGCTGCCTCGACCATAGGCACATCGTGCTGTTTTAGAGTTTCTCGGATGTTATCCTTCCATATTGTTCTTGGTCTACCCCGTGCTCTACGTCCTTCTTCTCTTCCCATGTATGCTTTGTATGGTATATTTGAAGGATTTGGCAATGTAAAGGATATGCAACTAACTTTTTCACACACTGCAGCGATTGGAGGCTGTTTAACCCACTGACTACCAGCGTCGCACGTAATGCGACGAGGCGACGTTTACTTCCTTCTGCCAACATCACACCCTTTGCGATTTTAGCTTTGGACGCTCGCCGTCATGTTAAAATCGCGATTTTTATGATGGATTTAGTTCTTCTTCTTCTTTGCGTTCACCAGCTGTACACTCTGGCGGAAAGTTCTGGTTGTTCGTCCACACCTGGACTGCAGTTCTGCTCCAGAACCTGGGTGTTGCGTGTGCATCAGTTTTACAGATCTGATTCACTTGAATGCAGACTGTTGGTTCCTTGCCTCTCAGGCAGATGCACTCCGACTTCAAAGGAAGCTACCAATTAGTCGACTCTTACGACATGCTTTTTGGTAGGCAGTGGGTCTATTCTTGTTTACCCCCCCACAATGGATTTAGTTGAAACCTCTAGCTTATTTATTTCTGTATGGTTAATTAAGGGAAATAACTTCGTAGTGCTTGAAGCAAATATTTGACAAATTTTTTTAGTTAGCTCCCATGATGGTGAAACATTGACGAAAAATTCATCATGGTGTCAAATTATTGGAACCATCGTGGTGGCCATATCTCTCCTAATTTTTCTAATGATGCATTCGATTTTCTTGATTTTGCTTCAAAAAGTGAATTTGAAGACACTTCTGAACAGTTTGATGGCTATGACTATAATAAATTTAACGAAGTGCCATTCAAAACATCGTCGACTGTAAAACGACAGCATGAAGCTTCGAAGTCAAGTCTGACAAAGACAGTCACAGTGTTGTCGGCTGCAAGTACTGGTGTTGCAGTTTATGATGCTGATAGTTCTTGTAAGAGTATTCAGTCAAAGCCCACAGATTATAAAGATTTTGTGCGTGAGTCTGCACATGACGAAGATATCATTGCCGCTTTTGATTAAGAATCATCATTATCTGACGAGTCTGGGGAAGATGTGCCACGCCCCCCCCCCCCCAATGGTTGATGACTGGCATTGTGATTTAGAAGGCTTTCCTGGAGTACCCCCATTTACTGGCACTTTTGGTTTATTTCTGCCAGCAGGAACAAATAAACCACTGAATATTTTCTTCAAGAAAGAAATTCTGGCTGTGTTTGCTAAAGAAACAAACCGTTATGCTGAGGCAAAGATTGGTGCGAAACCAGACACCTGTTTTCCCAAGAACTGGAAACACACAACCCCAAATGAAGTAACATGGTTTCTTGTACTGTTGCGTCACATGTGTTGTGAAAAAGCCATCTATTTCAGACTACCGGAGTCTATATCCATCTATCCACTCATCATTTGCTGCCACCATCACGTCAAGGGGGCGTTTTCTATATATTGCTGTCAGATAATAGATTTGTCTGTTGCCTTTTCAGCACCATATCTACAGCCACATGATGATGATATAAAACAGTAAATCTACATATGTCTTGATATTTGTTATCTATTTAATTTGGTGCAAACAATATCAGATAAGATAAGTGATATTGAACAGTTGTGAAGCTGTGACATTTTTTGGGAGTCTGAATTATTGTCAGATAAAGGATTTTTCAGTTGCCTTTTTTTGCAACAATCTACAGCCACATGATGATGATGATTATGGCAGACAAAGTAAACCCCATTTTTTGTCTTCACATTGTTCTCGGTTCAATTTTGTGCAAAAATACAAAATGTAATATATGTTTGTTGAATATTTTTGAAAAAAAATCATCACTATCAGTCTTTATTGTTGTCAGATAAAAGATTTTCAGTTGCCTTTTTTGCAACAATCTACAGCCACATGATGATGATGACTATGTCAGAGTAAACCTTATTTTTTTCTTTAAATGGGTTCTTGGTTTAATTTTGCGCAAAAAATACAAAATATTATACATTTTTGTTAAATATTTTTTTGAAAATAAGACATTTTTATTAGTCTTTATTGTTGTCAGATAAAAGATTTTTCGGTTGCCTGTTTTGCACTAATCTACAGCCACATGATGATGATGCAAAACAAAATAAACAACTTTTTTTTTCTTGAAATTTGTTCTTCATTCAGTTTGGTGCAAAAATATAAAATATTGTGAGATTATATCAAATAGTTGTGAAGCTATGGCATTTTTAGTACACACTAAAATACGTGGTATCTGGGGAAAGGCAAGGGTTAATGTGCTTGGTAGTCAGTGGGTTAAAAAAAAATAGCAGATGGTACAGTTAACAGCTTCCATCTCCATTATCAAGCTTGATAATGTGTTTCATTTGGTTCTGGAACAGTTTTGATTCTGACCTTGTCTCTGAAACCTCAACATGAGTTCCTTCTGGAAATGACACATCTGCCAGTGTTCATTATTACTGCGCTCTGTTCTAACAATATGGATATAAACAATTTACAACAAAAACACCAACCGTAATTTATGCAAAACTGTATTATTCAATCATTTAAAAAATGTATTATCACCTCAATTTGCTTAGCAGCTCTGTCATCAGCATGCTGAAGCAGGTTCTCTCCCAAATCCAGAATTTTATTGTATGTAACTTCTTGCTTCTGGAGTTCATGCTTCACCGTCTGGATCAGAGAGAAAACAATTACCAACCACCAAAACTTGTATATGTATTTTCATCATTATGAAACTTGCTTTTATCAGTCTTATCTCTCTAATTGGGGTTAGCAAATTGTTTTTCTTTGATTAGGGACAGGCATTATCACATTATTAATAACTATTAATGTTTACTGGCTTTGCTGTTTCGCAAATGGTTATTGTTAACAAAAGCGACATCACTAAACGCTTGACATAAACACCTCATCTATCTCAGCAGATACTGATACTGTGGATGCTAAGGTCTCTAGTCACACCCTGGTAGGTTACCCTTCTTACAAGTCTATTGTAACTGATATGTAACACTAGTTCCATGTTGTATTTTATGACTCTTCAGTTCACCATTTATTACCTCACTGTTTTTTGAAAAATTACACAGAAAATTTTCCTCTGATAATTGCACTATTGAATATTTCAATTATGAGGAAACAAACAGTTTACTGCCTGGCATGTTTCACTGTATCTCACCAGGTGCACTATTGCAAAGTTTATATCAGCAGCATATTTAATATTTATTGAATATTTATCCATTTAAAAATCTGTCCAATACAGCATTACCAGCCAATTTGATTAATTTGATTCATAAACCAACATCACAGTACTCGGGGCATTCCCATAAGCGCTCCATCCCCATCTCAGCAGCCAGCAAAGAGTTTTGATACTAATAGTGCCAGTAGAATTCTGATTAAACGTCCGTCTTGCCTTTCCTCTGAGCCTCGGGCTCAGATTGAAAGGAACAATGTACACCACAATCATCTACTGTGTCCTAAACTATTCAGTACAGATGTTCCATGTGAGTGGTTGCGGTTGTATTCATTGAGCAGTATGACATTAATATCATCATCATGTGCAGCACCAATAAGCACAGTAAGTTGTGGTTTGTCCTTTCCCATTATCACCAGAATCACTGATAAAGTAACGGTAACAGTAAGCAGTAGTAATTTTTACAACAATATCTTATGGAACCCTCAGGGTGATAGTTGGGATATACAGTGTTCATTGATTTCTCAGAGTATGTATTTGTTATTTTATATTCAAATATAGTGTAATAATTGATATAAAACAGATACATAATTTGTATTGTTTCACTAACTGCTTTGATTTGGGTTATGATTATGATAGAAACTGTCATCATCATTATGTGCCTTGCCAACTGGCATAGAGGCTCATGAGTCTTCCCAGTTCACGATACCTGGTTGCCTGGAACAGCTCTCTTGATGATATCCCTCCATGCCATCGCTTCAGCCCATCCAGCATCATCTCTCTTGGTCTGCTCTACCCCTTTTCCACTGATCTTTCCAGTTGTCACGATGTTCTCCAATGTCTCCCTTCTCATTATCAGAAACTGTACTCTAAACAATTAGACAATCTTACTAAAATTGTGTTACCAACACAGTGGATTTATTATTCCCCTGGTGTAACAGTTCATTATTCTCGCATAGGAAACTTCGTCAAAGATGTCAAGGATACTAAAACTGTAACGTTTACATTCTTTATACATTTATTATTTAAAAAAAACATTATCTCAGTATAAACAGCTGGAAGTGATTTTTAACCTAATATTCAGTGTTCTGGTGCATCCAATATCATGTTGTAACATTATTATATGGCTTTAAATAATAATTCAGTCAGTCAGTGATACAATTTTTATTTAAAAAAAACCCATTAAAAAATGCGCAAACAGATACTTGAAACCTTATTTCTAATTCACCTACCTGAACTTTTTCCATTGAATTCTTGATGGCCTGTAATGAGTTGGAATCAGATGGTGATGTCTCTAAATACTTCTCTGTGTCATTGAACCAGCACTTCAGCTGCTGGCTACGAGTATTAAATTCACACCATCTGTTCATAATTTCCTCAATTTCAGCCTTTCTCTGGCTGGCTTTTCTGGAAACATGATGCCACTGCTCAAAGAGTAAGCTGAGTTTTCTTTGAAAGTCATCCTTGTCCTCCACTTCTCCTGCACTAATCATCTTTTGACCATCGCTAAGAATGGCATGTATGATTTGCTGTTGACTGTACAACTCATTTTCAAATTGCTAGAGAAGAAATACATAACAAAAAGATTTATTACACAATATCTAGACCAATTCTGATGAAATTATACTTAGTTTTTAAATGACATCATGAATCTGGAAAAGCTAATCTGGACAAAAATAATGACTGTAAAAGTCAAAAGTATTGGCCAAAAGATGGAAATATTGCTGCCAAGTTGTCAACTCTTTGAGTCCCAAGGAATGCAATCATACGTTCATAGGTTCCTGCCTAGAGGCTCAATAAATGCAAGATGCGCTGCTTTTACATCTCTCTTGACTGCCCCTTGGACCTCTGATGCTAAACCCCCCGGGACTCAAAGAGTTAATGGGTACAAAGCATGTACATCATCAGATGAACCCACAAAGCAAAAATTATATCTTAAACAATTCTAGAAATGCTATATCATGACCATGCTGCTACTGAATACACACAATCAATTAGTTTCAATGTCAGTCAAATTAATTTTAATATGTCTGATATTAAAATTAATGTGACTGACATTGAAACTAATTGATTGTGTGTATTCAGTACCAGCATGGTCATGATATAGTATTTCTAGAATTGTTCAAGATATAATGTTTTTTTTAAAAATATGTCTGATATAAGCATTTGACTGTGTGAAACATGAAGAAGTAATCAAACTGCTGGAAAAATTAAACATTGATGGGAAAGATCTATGAATAATAAAGAATATGTATTGGCAGCAAACAGCAGCTATAAGAATTAACAACTGTTTAGGTACATTTCAAAGCATAAAGATGGCCGTACGACAAGGATGTGTACTGTCACCTGATTTGTTTTCAACATACAGTGAATATATAATGAGAGCTTTAACTGATATGCCCGGAATTGTGGTTGGTGGGCACAATATAAACAATGTGCGTTATGCTGATGACACAGTCTTGTTAGCAACAAGTCAGAAAGAACTACAGGAAATGATAGACATTATGGTGTTAGAAAGTGGAAGAATGGTCCTCAGTATGAATAATGGGAAGACAGAAGTAATGGTGGTATCAAAGAAATGAATTATTCCTAAATGTGTAATAAAAGTGGATGGTGTTATTTTAGGACAAGTACAGAAATTTAAGTATCTAGGCACATGGATAACATCAGATACATGCTGCAGGAGATCGCAGATTATGGAGAGGCATGATCGCCAACGCCAGTCATCTGATGGCACCTGATGATGGTGATGTCTGATATGTTCAAAATGTCTAAAATAATGAAACATATGTTTCGTTCTACCAGGATAATATAAAGAATATATCTGCACTATGTCAGAATTTGTTTAACTGATCTCGGCTTCCATGTCAACCTAACCTAAAATAAATACTAGAAGATATTATGGAAAGTACAAGTAGCTGGCGTCTGATCACATCAACCACTGAGTGCTGATTTATCAGTAAAAATAAAGGTCTAGCACCATATGCCACATATGCTACTTGCACGAAAAAGGACCTTTATATTTAAGTTTACATACATTCTTGCAATTATTATATATCTAGAAGTGAAGATGAACTAACTGCAATTCTAAGACAACAAACATCACTGTGCAGGAATTTTTTCTGCTGGTGTGCAAAGATATCTGCGTTACCAGCACCTTTATAGACATAATATATTCAATGCTTCTGTCATCATCATCAATTTCCACTTCTGCCATTAAGTGTTGTGGGGAGGAACAGTTTGAAATCCATTGCTTGATGGGTAGCACTGGCTGTTGTCATTCTGTGACGATGTAGAAGCTCTTCAATGTCATGAATCCATTTTCTCCTAGAGTGGCCTTCTGCTTTTACATCAGATCTTTTCATGCATAGTGTCTGCATTAGTAGTTGTTCTGGCTGCATTTTTACTAAATGACCAAACCATTTGATTTTCTGTTTCTTAATGAATTTGCTGAATGGTGTTGTTCCTTCAGCCTGTATGATAATTTCCAATTTGTGTTTGGATGGTAGCAAGTTGGAATATGCGGCTTTTCACAGGCATCCTTAATTTGGTATACACAGGTGTGGCAATTTCTACATAGGTTTCTTTCCTTTAATTTCTGTCCAAGACAAGTTTTGCATTGAACCCAGGTAGCACAGTGCTGGTATGAATATGCTGTTTATAATCTGTTTTTTTACGCTCATACTTATACCTTAATAAAAGTGGCAGTTGGTATACAAGTGCACTGGCTCGCTGGCATCCTGTTTTTATTTCCAATCTATTCTCCCATCCTCCAAAAATATTCTTTCCAGATATTTAAATTCTGTAACTTGCAACAGACAAGTACCGTTGAATTGAACCCAATGTGTAGTGGACTAGATTCAGACAAGCACCATTGAACCCGATGTGTAGTGGACTAGCAATTGTGCTGACCTGCATTAGCTCAGTTTTTGTAGTATTTATTTTCATGTTTTATTTTCTGCATGGTGAACTTAGTCTGTTTAAATGTTCTTGCAGTATACTCCCCTCATTGTAGAACAGGCACTGATCGTCTGCAAATGGTAGCCCATTTACTGTGTCTAGATCTAATTCTTCCTCTGGAAAGTAAAGTTCCTCACCTTCTGGATTTCTGGGTCAGGTGCTTAGAAATTGGCTTTATTTGATATTCTGTTTATGTAAATAGTAAATAAGAGAGAAGAAAGCACACATCCCTGCCTCTCCCCTGTATTGATTGTAAACATATCAGATGTCAGTGCTTCTGGAATAGACACTTAAAAACTTTGTGCTGACACATACTAACACTCACATTGATGTTTGTGTCATTTCCTGATGACCACATGAAAAAAAAAGTACAAAGACACTGGAGTTACAGTAGTAACTTTCAAACTTAAAAATTTAAACTCAAACAGTATACATTTATTTCATCTTTCAATAATAAATCAAGCTTAAAAACAGCTTTCCCTCTACTCTGACGTTCACCCTGAAAACTTTTGTTCACTGCTTACCTGTATACTGCACAGTTGATCAGACAGGTCATTTAGATTTCTCTTTAATTTTTCTGTTAGCTTTTGTTCTGACTGACTCAAGAAATTCTCCCAGGTTTCACATTTGGAGGCAAAGTTTTGCTGTTGAAGCAGATTACCCTGGAGTGTCCTGGACTTATCCTTAGTGTCTTCATACAATTTATACCATTTGTGATTAAGTTCTCTTAGTTTTGTTGCATCAGTTTTACTCAAAGCCAATTGATACCTTCAATAAGAAGCAACAATAAACATGCTTGAGATTTGACTTATTATTGACCTATAGAATTACAATTTAACTGTAAACTTGTCTCCACCCAACCCCACCCCCAATTAATCAAATCCCATGCTAGCAAATCCACATTGAATGCATTTCACCATCACTTGTAAAAACAACTGTAATGAACTGCAGTCCGAGAACACAATATGCACACATTGACTCTAACCAGACCGCTGTACCATTTTTCCATGAATTTCCTAATCTGTCTCTGTACCTCATTTTTGGTACTTTGCTTACTACATGAAAAAAAAAAAAGCGTCACAAACTAAAAATAACCAACCAATCATGAAAAACCTAATGGTTAGTCATTGCAAATGGTTTCCCCAATGTATTTGGATTGACTTTATGTGGTTTAATGTGAAAAATTCTGAAAATTTACATTTAAGCGGCTGATAAACTAAGCACTTCAACAGGAAAGCGAAGTAGCTCTAGGCTTTTCACAGTCCAACAGGTGATCGATACTTTGGTTGATTCAGTCTCTAGGAAGTCAGAGTTTCAACAAGAATATGTTTCCAGTTCAAGTGACACAGATTGTAAGAGCTCGAGTGATGAGAAGGATCTTGAACCTTACAGAACTAGAGCTAGATCGATAGTAAGAGAAGGGTGGGGGTTGGGGGGGGGGCATGTCCCTCAAACAGCTGATTGGGGAGATCTAGGTGGTGATGAAGGTTAGACAAGGAATTTTGTATCACCAAATATAGATCTGAATTTCAATGATGAAAGGTAAGGTAAATCTATTTTCTACAGTGTCTCCATGTTTCATATTATTCTAACCATTTGTTTGCATGTAACTATTAATTTTGTATATCATGTTGATTTTTGGCTTTAATGCCCAGGAGCCCAGGTAAAGGGGTCAGGTTCAGGGCCTCAGGTCTGGTAGAGTTAAATGCATTAAGCAGTTGCTAGAGGTGACAATACAGTTAGCTATCGCGGTTCATAGAAGCAGCAATTACAACAAATCAGCATTGCACTCGCAATATTGCATAAAGCACCACCAGTTCTGAGACAAGAGCCAATGAGCTATTTTCTGAATCTCCAGTTCTCAACATAAACCGCCTTGGGCACAGTCAAAAAGTGGTCCAAAGCTCACAGTGTTGCACTTATCTCAGTGGCTGCTTGTTGGGGCTATGTACTTTCAGTTCCCTTAGGGGGAAAATGCCAGAGAAAACTGTGGCCAGAAGCAAACAACATGCCATAACTTGAATGGTCAGCTTGTCTTTCCAACACACTGGACTGGAACTCTCCTACTGGTGTTAAGGAATCACATAAAAATGGTTCTACTGGTGTAAAAGAAAGTCAAACACTGAGGATAAAATCAAAATCTCTTGTACTTGGGCATTGCCAGCTTTGTGGTTAGTACACTGCAGTTGACTTAGCATTATATAATATACTTTCCACACAGTATGCCTCAGAAAGCTGCTGAACATAAAATAGCAAGACAAGATTCCTGACACTGAAGTCCTTGAAAGAGCTGGACTGCCCAGTATTCCCTCCATTCTAAAAAATCACAATTTCGCTGGGCAGGTCATACAGTCCGCATGCCTGACTACAGACTGCCAAAAAGAATTTTCTATGATGAGCTACAAAAAGGAAAGTGCTGTCATGGTGGACAGAAGAAATATTTCAAGGACAACACCAAGACCTCACTGAAGACTTCTGTATTGATCCTACAATCTGGGAAGTTGCTGCAATATGACTGATCATCCTTGCACTCCTCTCTTTATCGAGGAGGTTTGGCCCAAGAAAAGACAAGCCAGGAAAGATACTAAAGCAAATCACCAGAGAGATGTGGCCTTAATTCCCTGTCCACACTGCTCAAGAAGGTTTCATGCCGGAATTGGCTCTATCAGCTATCTTCGCACTTATAAAACATAATCCAGTCACCAATGGATGAAAGGACTACACATCATCACTTGTGATGGACAAACAACAACATAAAGTGCACATCTTTGATTTGGGATAGAAGAGTAGTCAGAAAAGAATCGATCAGTCCACATCATTATGTCATGATCTAGTAGTATATGTGAACCTAACACTTCATAACCGCATGTATTTATTACTAAATATGAATTTCACAAATCATATATATGATCTTTCAGATTTCATGATGCTACCTGCTACCAGGTGCAGTATAAAGGAAACTATCTTTATTTTCAAAGTGTTTTAGTTCAACATGAACAAATCTGCATGTATTCGTGAACAACCAGCTGTGTGTAGATGAGCAATAATTTATTATAAGATGTTCAATAGAACATAACCTGCAGAAGATGATGGCTAAAACTTTAAAAAGAGTGTCACATTTGCTGCTGTTACCTACCCTAGGTCATTAACTTCATCTAACTGTTTATGATTGTCACTGAACAGCAGCAAGAGATTTTTGAGCTGCTCAAATCTCAACCCAATAGCTTCCTGCTCAGCAGCAGCTTTCTCTGGATCATCATAGCCTAGGATAATTTCAGCATAGCTCAAAAACTTCTCGACGACCTGCAACAAAAACGTTTGGTAACCATTTTTCATAGCCAGACTTTGAGTTTCACAAAAACTGTCTGTACAGAACAGGTCTTATAAATCTATACTGACAATCTGCTCTACTGTGACATGCTGATCTTTTACAGATCTGCTACTGCATCATCATCATCATCATCATCAAATCATTATCACTGTCATTATCATGTGCCATACCAAAAATGTGCATAGTGGTCATAGTCCTCCGTCACACACAACTACATACACCAATATTAGTTAGTTAGTCTTTCCTCTTGTGTCGAGTGCGGCACATAGGGCAGAGGTCGCGACTCTCCATGCACGGCGGTCCGTTGCAATCCGTTGTAGGTCTTGGATGTTTGAGTGGCCCATGAGCGAGCCTTCCCTGATGATAGTTCTACGTAGGGTTTCCCTTGGTCTTCCACGAGATCTTTTCCCCTGTGGTGTCCAAATGAGGGCTTGGTAAGGAAGTCTTGATTTATCCATTCTAAGGGCGTGGCCGACATAGTTCCAGCGGCGTTTTCGTATAAAATTAGACACATACTCTTGCCTGGATTCTTGCCTTATTTGTGTATTGGTTCGGAAATCTGACCATTTGAAATTTAGTATTCTTCTAAGGCATTTATTTTCACAACTGTCTAATTTTGTGTCTAGAGTTTTCGTTGATTTCCAGCTCTCGCATCCATAGGTTAGTACTGGAATCACACAAGAATTGAAGATCTTGAATACACCAATATGTTACATTATAACTAGAACCCAATACAACAACGAGCTTAACACCAAATATATGTTCCATTATAACTAGAACACAATACAAGAATGAGCTTAACACCAAATATATGTTACATTATAACTAGAACCCAAAACAAGAATGAGCTTAACATCAAATATATGTTACATTATAACTAGAACCCAATACAAGAATGAGCTTAACATCAAATATATGTTACATTATAACTAGAACACAAAACAAGAATGAGCTTAACACCAAATATATGTTACATTATAACTAGAACACAATACAAGAATGAGCTTAACACCAAATATATGTTACATTATAACTAGAACACAATACAAGAATGAGCTTAACACCAAATATATGTTACATTATAACTAGAACACAATACAAGAATGAGCTTAACACCAAATATATGTTACATTATAACCAGAACCCAATATATGAATGAGCTTAACACCAAATATATGTTACATTATAACTAGAACCCAATACAAGAATGAGCTTAACATCAAATATATGTTACATTATAACTAGAACCCAATACAAGAATGAGCTTAACACCAAATATATGTTACATTATAACTAGAACACAATACAAGAACAAACACCAAATATATGTTACATTATAACTAGAACACAATGAAGCTTAAACACCAAATATATGTTACATTATAACTAGAACACAATACAAGAATGAGCTTAACATGTTACATTATAACTAGAACCCAATACAAGAATGAGCTTAACACCAAATATATGTTACATTATAACTAGAACTAGAATGACTATAACACCAAATATATGTTACATTATAATTAGAACACAATACAAGAATGAGCTTAACATCAAATATATGTTACATTATAACTAGAACCCAAAACAAGAATGAGCTTAACACCAAATATATGTTACATTATAACTAGAACACAATACAAGAATGACTATAACACCAAATATATGTTACATTATAACTAGAACACAATACAAGAATGAGCTTAACATCAAATATATGTTACATTATAACTAGAACCCAATACAAGAATGAGCTAAACATTAAATATATGTTACATTATAACTAGAACCCAATACAAGAATGAGCTTAACATCAAATATATGTTACATTAAAACTAGATCCCAATACAAGAATGAGCTGAACATCAAATATATGTTATACAAGAATGAGCTTAACATCAAATATATGTTACAATATAACTAGATCCCTATACGAAAATGAGCTGAACATCAAATATATGTTAATACAAGAATGAGCTTAACACAAAATATATATTACATTATAACTAGAACCCAAAACAAGAATGAGCTTAACATCAAATATATGTTACATTATAACTAGAACAAAATACAAGAATGAGCTTAACATCAAATATATGTTACATTATAACTAGAACCCAATACAAGAATGAGCTTAACATCAAATATATGTTACATTATAACTAGAACCCAATACAAGAATGAGCTTAACATCAAATATATGTTACATTATAACTAGATCCCAATACAAGAATGAGCTGAACATCAAATATATGTTAAATTATAGCTAGAATACAATACAAGAATGAGCTTAACATCAAATATATGTTACAATATAACTAGATCCCTATACGAAAATGAGCTGAACATCAAATATATGTTAAATTATAGCTAGAATACAATACAAGAATGAGCTTAACATCAAATATATGTTACATTATAACTAGAATACCATACAACTTCAACAATGAGCTTAACATCAAATATGTTACATAATAACTAGAAAACAATACAACAATGAGCTTAACACCAAATATATGTTACATTATAACTAGAATACAATACAAGAATGAGCTTAACATCAAATATATGTTATATTACAACTAGAATACCATACAACTACAACAATGAGCTTAACATCAAATATATGTTACATAATAACTAGAATACAATACAACAATGAGCTTAACACCAAATATATGTTACATTTTAACTAGAACACAATACAACAATAAGCTTAACACCAAATATATGTTACATTTTAACTAGAACACAATACAACAATAAGCTTAACACCAAATATATGTTACATTATAACTAGAATATTATACAACAATAAGCTTAACACCAAACAAATGTTACAAAACAAGGATGAGCTTAACACCAAACATATGTTACAAAACAAGTAGAATACAATACAAGGATGAGCTTAACACCAAACATATGTTACATTATAACTAGAACACAATAAAAGAATGAGCTTAACACAACATTTAAAATTACACACTGAAAGATAATTTGAAGTGATGTCTATTTATATAGCAATCTTCTGAAAAGCTAATAAATAAAAACATATCACACAAATATACAAAGAAACAAAATTCAAATGGCTCAGTTGTTTCATGGGAATGCAGCACCATTAATTACCAACATATGTGCTGCAACTAAGAAAATATGATATCAGAGTAAGAGCGCACAAAAGAAACAAAAAAACTTTTTACAAAATTAAAGACATTGTTCTTTCATAAAGAAGGAGTATCGTCAGTGCCAGTGTCCTTTCAAGTAGTGAACCACCAAAAACATGTCCTTCCTTCAATGTAGAATGGCACAGTAGGAGATGATGATGTCACGCATAAATCTTGTTGGCAAATATAAAGAGATCCTCAGCCTATTGTCCAACAGCTCAAGCAAAGACCTTATTTTACAAAATGAAGAATATTTTATGCAATCTTTCATTGTCAACTGAGACGAGAAAGAGAATTCTTAAAAGCTATATAAATCCTATATATGGAAGACAGTAAGTAAATTAATGAAAATTTATTTGGAAGCTGCAAAGATATGGTTTTATAGACCATTGATGAGAATACCCTGGACAGATAAAAATAGTAATGAGGATACAACAGACCATGTCCTCCAAGACTGTTCCAAATACAGTTTATCAAGGCAAAACTTTTGGCCAAGAGAAACATCAGTGCAAGTCAAACTTTAAGGGTCACTGAGTGAATTACAAAAGACAGTGAAGTTCATACTAAAGACAACATTGCAGATACTACTAGGTAGGTCTCTGATTAGCCAAGTCCAACATTTAAATAATAGTTTAACTCTATTTTTTAAGAACCCTGCCTAAATATTTAAAGAATCAACATCCAGAAGATGATTATCTCTTTCTGTCCCGAGAGGTTTAGCATCACAGGCCCAAGTGCTAGTACACTGGAATATTTAACTGGTGCTTCTTGCATTCATTGGACTTCTAGGTAGAAACCTATGAACGCATGATGAGTTCCTTGGGACTGAAAGAATTATATCTCCCAAACACCCCGATGAGGTAACTGGAGGAAGAGAAGAAGACAGAGAAGAAAAAGTACCAAGTCTTTCTGACCTCAAATTTCTCTTTGAACTTTTCATGCATGCATAGATCCCTGGACACAGTGACTGACAGCTGAGATAGTTTCTGCTTCAGGGCCAGCATCTTCTGATCAATGGTAAACTGACGTGATTTCATAATAGACACAGTAGATGGATTCATACGTTTTGTTAGCATCTCATTCTGTCTGCTTAGATCTGAAACCAGAGTCTGAAAACTGCCCAGCTCTTGCTGAAGTTTCTATCAAGAAAGAAAAGTATAGTATTATGATTTACAGAGTGGACATATTTTCTTACAAACCTGCATTAGTTAATATTTCAACTCAAGGCTTATAGAAGAATTGTTTTTACTTATTTATTTACTTACAACAGGATTCTATAATGCCAATCAACCTGTCTAAAGAAGGTATAACTGGGGTAGTGTAATCTACTTACATATATGGATGTATTCTTGTCAATAACACACCTGCATGTGCTCATGCGCACGCACACATACATTCCTACACTGATACAGCCAACTGCAGTAGCACAGAGACAAGATGCTTGCCTATGGGCCTGAAGGTCCTGGATCAAATTTTGGTTCCCAAGTCGACCGTGTTTAACATGGCACCAGAAAATATCAAAAATATCCTGGGAAGTAAAGGTGGCTGGCATAATGCTGACCACATTACTCATCAAGAACCAATTAGTCTATGCAAACATGAGTCTAACATCAAATGCCTGAGGCATCACTGCTGTGAAGAAAGCTCGACTTTATACTTATACTAACAGTTATTTTCTTCCTCTCTCCTTGTCTCCCTCTCTCCCTCTATTTCTCTCTCTCACACATACACACCTACACACACATGCATGCACACATGCATGTACACAAAACACATAGAGAGAGAGAGAGAGAGAGAGAGAGAGAGAGAGAGAGAGAGAGAGAGAGAGAGAGAGAGAGAGAGAGAGAGAGAGAGAGAGAGAAAGAGAGAGAGACACGCATACATAAATACATGCGATTATGGCATTTTAGGAAAGGCAAAACAAAGTGAAACAATATGAAATAGATAACACAATAGCAGTCCTACATGACATCAGCTACAGATTCAAATTTGTGCACAGTCAATAAACTTGTGCCATCTGAAGTATATATAGAAATGAGAAGACATGCAGATTCGCCAACAAGGGTGGATTAAAAAAAAGAATGACAAAGATACTACAAAAAAATCAAATCAGCAATTAATATTAATTCGTAAGAAAACTAGCTCACACAATTTTAAGTGACAGATTTATCACAGACAATATTTCTTTCAATATCACGCAGCAATCAAGTGGCCATCTTATAATTCAAAACCACTTTTTGCAGACTTAAAAATCTGTCTATAGTTTGATTCCACTAACCTTTATCTAAAAAAGTGAACCAACAAAGCAGCAAGGAGAAGATAATATGGTATCTTTCAAATACTAATGGTCAAATCACAAAGGTCTGATGTATTTTAAAGATTTAGCAACCCCCACACATTTAACCTGAATGCTCTTTATGGCCGCCACCTGTGTTGGTTTATCGGTACTTACTGGAAATTTACAAACATATTTTTCTCACATTTTTCAAGTTTAAAACTGCGAGTCGTCTTATACATAGAATTTTGCAATTAAAAATATAAATAAATACATGCTGCTATCCATAGCGGGTCTGGGTTGCCAGGGGATGTAAATGATATATCAGTAAAGTTATTCCTGTTTGATGTTTAAAATAGAAAGGCCATTGATAGATCCACCCGAGATAGCAGAAAGATGGAGGGAATACTTCAATGAGCTCTTTAATCCTCTAGGAGATCATCAGGAAAGAACAACTGAAGAGCACAGAGCAACAGTGTTAGAACCACACATACTAATGGATGAAATAGAAAAAGTCATTAAACAGTCTCCCAAATATAAAGCACCAGGAGCTGATAGATTACCAACAGAAATAATTCAAGCAGCAGGTGAAAGCTTCACAGAATATTCAATGCAGCATGGGTACAACAAAAGGCCCCTACTGATTGGCAACATGCAATAGTTATACCATTGTTGAAGAACAAAGGAAGCAAACGAGAATGCGGTCAATATCGAGGCATCTCTCTTTTAAGCCATGTTGGCAAAATGTATGCCAAGATGATAGAAACAAGACTGAGACCAGTGCTAGAACAACAGCTGGCAGAAGAACAGATGGGATTTAGGAGAAACAGAAGCTGCACAGATGCAATCTTCACACTTAAACACTTAATAGAAAAGAACATTGAATACAATAAGAACTTATTTGTGGCATTCGATGACCAGGAGAAGGCATTTGACAGAGTCGACAGACAATTACTATGGAAAATAATGGCAAGATATGGAGTAAGCGAACACCTCATCGAAGTGTGCAAAAGTTTATGCAGGGATTGTAGAAGTGTAGTTAGAATAAATCAGGGAACATCTCATCCTTTCACAGTGACATCTGGAGTAAGACAGGGGTGTGTCTTATCACCACTGCTGTTTATCACCTATATCGACAGTATATGCAAGAATGCCAAGCCCATGAATGAAGATCTTAGTAAGATCAATGAATTACTCTTTGCAGATGACCAGGCCTTGATAGCAGATACAGCCATGAAATTGCAACAACATCTAACATCCATGAATGAAGAATGTAAAACAAATAATATGAGAATCAACACTGAAAAGACAGAAGTAATGTCAATAGGAAAAAAGAAGACAGATCTAAACATAGCAATAGAATACAAAGACATTAAACAGGCATCTGAGTTTAAATATCTGGGAACTACATTTACCGAAGATGGGAAATTGGATAAAGAAATTGACATTAGATGCAGTAAAGCAAACCAAGTATTGGGACAGCTAGCCCCCCTCTTACAGCATAAGACAATCCCAATCAGCACAAAGAGACATCTTATTCAAAGCATATTTATTCCAACTCTGTGCTACCAGTGCCAGACATGGTCACTCACAACAAACCATAAAAGAAAATTAGTAACCACGGAAATGAGATGTCTGAGAAGGGCTGTAGGAGTGACCATAAGAGATAAGATCAGGAATGAGATCATAAGAGAACAAGTCGGCACAGAACCAATTCTGGATTACATACAAAGACAGCAAGTGAAATGGTTTGCCCGCTTAGAGAGAATGCCTTGTGACACCATACCATACAAAGCATACATGGAAAGAGAAGAAGGACGTAGAGCACGGGGTAGACCAAGAACAACATGGAAGGATAACATCAGAGAAACTCTACAACAGCACGATGTGCCTATGCCTATGATGCTAGAAACAGAACCTTATATCTCCCTCGACACCCACAGCGGTAAAAGAGGAAGTGAAGAAGAAGAAAAAGAAGAAGAAGATGTTTAAATACATGGTTATTAATATGAGTGTGATCTAAATATTTGATAAAATATCAAATTGTTCTGTTTGGTGTTTAAAATATTTGTTTCTTAATTTTGGGCTTCAAATAAATAGGGATCATCTATACATGGAAAAATATGTCTTGAGGCTACTGTGAATATATTACCAGTAGGATAAGACCCCTATCCCAGACAACAACTCTACAGATTATACTTACTGTGAGTGTCTCTGAGCTCACAGTGTCAGTGCTGCTCAGATCTATAGACATAACTTTATTATCCAGCCAGCCTTGTATTGTGCTGTACTGGTTCTCAAACAGTTGCCACTCATCAAGGTAGGTCTCATATTCATTGCACCTCTGCTTTAAATCTGAACTGAGCTGCATCCATTTTGTCTGAATGTCTGACACAGTTCTTTGTATGTCATACTGAACAGTAGGCTCACACACCTGCCTGAGCTGATCAGCTATAGCTGAAAAGGATTTCAGCTGGTCAGAGTTCTTCTCTAAATTTGCATGCAAATCCTGTAAAACAAAATATGCATTGTAAATAAACAAAACATCAATAATGCAATCACAATCTCTATAAGTATGTTAGCAGCAGTAGTAAACAAAGAATGTACCATAAGAGAATCATAAAAGTTGTGGGTAATTTAAAAAAAAACATATGAAGAAAATATAAAGATTCAAGGGGAAGTCAATAAGTAAGTCACGAATGGTTGTTTTAAAAAAAACAACTAAAAGACAATAACAACTTGAACATTTTTTAGTTTTACACATACACTGCCCCTTTATTTTGCAAGATAATTTCCACCAACATTGATGTACTTGTCCCATCGTTTTATCAGTCTATGTCTGCATCATAGCCTGTGTTCAAAACATTTTTTACTGCAGTACTGTTATTGAGAATAATATATATCCAGGCTCTCATAAGACTTGTCACATGAATAATGAAAGTAGACAAGAAAATAGCCTCTTCCAGGCCATGAGGCAAATTGAATATATGATACAATTTGAACGGAAAACTGACACCCAGAAAAATATAGTAAATATAACTCTGATTGTCCTTAATTCATAGAATACTTCCTGGTAGGCCTACCTATTATAAGCAGGGTAGTAAGGAAGCCAAGGTCAGTTTAAAGAACAGAAAATCCTAAACTGTAGGGGTATAAGAACACATAACCACCAGCTGACAGGCAAGCAGGTAAGGGACTGCAGCAATGTGGCTTTCAAATGGATATCATCAACATTTAAAAATGGTTTACTATTACTAATATTTTAGGGGAAAAAAACAAAACAGTAAAATCTCATTAACATGAACACTGAGGGACTGAAAATCAAGTTTGTTTGAAAAATAAACAAATTTATGCTAACTAACAATAACACATTCCTGCTGTGACCAATATTTTGTTCATGTTAACGAATTAACTGTTTTTTTAAGCCAGTTCTTGTTAATGAGGATTTACTGTATTTGATTAACTATTTGAAAACAATTATTTTTTGCTATTTTGTAGTGTGAGAAAACAGAACAAGTTGGGGCATTTACACTACATTTTGCAACTTTCTAGAATACAGTTGATTTAAAAAAATTTTAAAAAAGAGGTACTGATATTCTATGACATGTGAACATCTAAGAAAACATGACTTGTAATCTGAAATATTTGAGTCATATATTAAATGCCACAGTGACTAAGAAAGAACTGGGGTCTCTGTGATGAAGTGGTCAAGCAGTTTGCCTCATGATCTGAGGGTTGTTTGTTAGTTTCACAGACTGAATCATTCATTTCATGAGTGTCATCATTTTGGAGATCCCTGAGAAATTTCACTGGAGCTATGGAGTTCATGCTTTGTGAAATGTTTTTGTGGGGATAGATCAAGCCATATGGAATAAAACCTAGTGCACGAAGTTGATTTACTTCAAACCTTGACAATTTAGAAAGAACAGTATAGGAAGGTAAGGTTTCTGGAAGAAAATGCAGAGGTCAACCAGCCTGCTTGTAGATACAAGCCATTGAAAGAGATCCTGAGTGTCAAAGTGCATTAACTGAGATAAGACTGAGTCTTTCACATGCACACAAGATCTGCTATACTAGTTGAATATAAATGAGTATAACCAACCTTCAGCTTCTTTACTTGTGACTGTAGAGTAGTAATGTCTCCTCTGATAAATGTGTAATTGTCAAGAGCATAGTCTGCTTGAGCTACAATCTGGTTGAGAAGAGCTAGATGACTGTGGTACTGAGTCCACCGACTTAACACATCTGTGAGAAACAGATATGAAACCTAACATAAATGATACTGAATTTTTATCAAGAAAAAAGATCAATAGAAAATAGATGTCATTTTGTAAATTATCTTCTTAAAAACTGGATTTATTCTGCACAATGCACTTTTGAGCTGTCTCTGAGCTTTCTGTTGGAGTCTGGGGACAATGAAATACTTAAACCACATTGAGGAAACATGACCATCCTGAGCCTAACCTCAATCATGTATATATTCTGTGCTGAATCATGACTCTGATACAGCCCCATATACTTCTCTGCAGATGGGAAGTTCATCCTGCTTGTTCCTGAGCTTGAAGAGATGAAGGGGAACTCTGCACCAGTCATCACAGAGGTGGTACTTCCTGGGCTGGTCTTCAACATCACTCAGACATATGTCAAACCATTTTAATCTCAACTGTCCTGAGTACCAATGCATCACATGAAAAAAAAAAATAAAACTCAGTTTTCCAGAGAATTTAACAACAAACCCAAAACATTGATAAAAGTATCTACTCACTAAATTATAACAGTTTTACTTGCTGGTCATGCTGTAACTTTTAACTAGCTTTACATCTATTTTCTATTGATATATTTTTAACGTTCACTTCTGAATGTTGTCTTCTTAGCATAGTGTCATATAGTATGTCCTTTATCAGTCTATATTGCCCAAGTGTATGCTCTGAAAGCAAACTGAATTATCTTAGCTACTTCTCTTTAACCCCGTGATTACCATGATCGCACATTATGTGATCTGCTGATGTTTACGCCTGCTTATCATGATCCAGATAAATAAATAAGATTTTGCACAACTGTGCTACTGTGATCATAACTTTGGACGCTCGTCATCATATTAAAATCTGACAGAAGCCATTGGTCCCTTTGTTTCTCTATAATAGTATAAGGGAAAATATTCTGTAGTGCTCGTAGTAATGTTTTGATGAATTATCATTGTGAGCTCCCATGTTGGTGACATGTTGACAACATTTTTATCATGGCGTGAAATTCTCGAAGAGAATGTTGAATTAAGAAATGACATCATAGCACTTGTTACACTCCCATAAATGCTCTGTCTCCATCTTCAATAGCAAACAAAGCGTTCCCATTCTGATGGTACCAGTAACTGTCTGACTGTATATCTCGACTTTCCCTTGAGTGTTGAGCATCAGCCAGATCCCCTGGTAACTCTTTGCAGTGCTGTTCCCCCCAGACCGTAATGATCTATTTGCAATTCCACACTGTTCACTCGCTTCCAGCAGGCCCTCGCAACATCTAGCTTGTCATATATCAGTTCACCACCAAGTGGTTCAGAACCAGCCAGTCTACTGATTGTTCATTTCCCAACACACCAGCATAACCTGATGAGAATATCCAAAGGATGCTAACTACCATGGACCTCTGAAGTGATGCTTGCCACTCCACATGAAGCACACGTGTCTCCACCTTTCTCAACATGCTATGTGAGTCAGATTCTCAAAGAGATTGTGGTGGTTATATTTATCATTTATATTGTTGCTGCGCGTGATTTTCTTGATTTTATTTTTTTTCTGTGGAAAGTGAAGGTGAAGATATTCCTGAACAGTTTGATGACTCTGACTTTGATAAATCAAAGCCCTTAAAAACATCATTGAAAGTGAACCAACAGCATGTCACAATAAAGTCAAGCCTAACTAAGGCTCAACCAACAGTTACACTATTGGTAGCAAACATTAGTGCGGCTGTTCCTGATATTGACAGTTCTAGTGAAAGTATTCATTCAGAGCCTGTAGATTTGGAAGATATTGTGTCTGAGCCTGCACATGATGATGATATCACTGCTGCTTCTGATGCAGAATCATCATATGATGAGTCTGAGGAAGAATCCCCCCCTTTTCCCCCTCCAGCACTGATGGTTGATGACTGGCATTGTGATTTGCATGGCTTTCTGAGGTACCTCCATTTACTGGCACTTCTGGTTTATTTCTGCCAGAAGAGGCAAAGACTGCACAAAACCAGACAGTTTTTTTGGTACTACTAAAAAAAAAAAAAAAACCGCCCTGACTGTTTCTTAAAGATCTTTCCCTGACCATGTCCTTCTTCACATGAAATGGAAACACACAAACCAAAATAAAGTCAAAGGTTTCTTGTACTGTTGCTTCACATGAGCGTTGTGAAAGCCGACTGTTTCAGACTTCTGGAGCCATTCATCATTTGCTGCCATCAATTTTTATTCCCATAATATGTCAGGAGTTGATATAAGTGACCAACTGCAAGCTTATGTTCCTCTTTCATGTTGTTCTTTGAAATAGTGGTAAACATTATTTTGTCATTTGTTTACTCTTACAGTTATTCAGAGTCACATACTGTATCCAAAATTATTAATGGAAAATGGGAAGCAACCTCTAAAGTTGCAGAATTTTATTTCACAGCTGGGCACAACTCTCGCCCAGGATTGTTTCAGCAAAATGAGACAGACACTTTCCTTCCCTAATTTCACCAACAGCTTTAAACTCAAAACTCAGAAGAAGGTGAACTGTGTTTAGAAAAAGATAAATGTAGAAATATAGAAAATAAACAAAGGCCAAAAAGAAACCATGACAAGTTATTGGTGCAGAGAATGTCAGGGTCCACTTTGTAATGAACAGTGCTATGAACTGTACCATACCACTGAGTGGTGTATATGTTTTGTTTGTTTGCATTGATACTGAATTGCACACCATTTTCTAAACTGATAAAAAAAAAAAAAAACCAATCTCATGTTTAATGTCATGAAATTGAGTCTATATATTGCTGTCAGATAAAAGATTTTTTTGTTGCATTTTTTGCACGATTTCTACAACCACATGATGATGATGTCAAACATAATAAACCCACTTTTTTCTTGAAATTTGTTACCCATTCAATTTAGTGCAAAAATAAAAAATATTATAGATGTGTGTATGTTGAATAATTTTGAATGTCAAGCTATGAGTTTCTTGTTAATCTACTCGTAAAAAAAAACGTTTTGACTACCTTTTTACACCATACTACAGTCACAGGATGATGATGAAGTCAAACAAAGTAAACCCAATTTTGTTCTTGAAATGTGTTCTTCATTCAATTTTATGCAAAAATACAAAATACTGTAAGTGTATGTTGAAAAGTTGTGAAGCTATGGCATTTTTGTTAGTCTATTTCTTGTAAGATGGCGGCATCCGTAATTCAAATGCACCACGATCAAAACCCACTGCTAGCTGCATGGATTTTTGTCATGGTATGAGGCGTCGCAGGTCGACCTAGCCTAAA